CAATAGCTCAGAGCACGCATGCTTAGACTGGAAATAGCTCATTTCAGTCTAAAAGTTCTTGACCACATCGATTAGGTCCGATCTCACCTCGGACTGCAGTCTTACGTGGCTACCAACATATGTGAACGAGCCAACCGTTACGCCACAGCACGCGCCAAGGGCAACCTTCTTTCGCTTTTCGAAGAATGCATGATGCTAGAATGATTTTGGGTTTCTAGAGGTACTTCTCCCTGCGGGCTGAGGTTAAATTTTGTTCCTCCCCCACACACTTCATCCTCAGCTTCGGCGCCGGACAATATGGGCTCCCAACCACGCGACGGCTCCCCTTATTTGTGAGTTTATTGAGTACGAACTTCTACTAGGCAAGGGTTTGCTATCTTACGGAGTCTGGATAACTACTAGTTGGTTTCAGTGGTGGGACTGTCTGGCTGGTGAGAACCTGAAATTGTACGTCGCTATCTTCTTCCTGCTCCTGATATCTACAGTATCAAGATTGATCCCCTTTATGTTGATACATGCCAGAAAACAGCGCACTCAAGGATGATAAAGCACCCCATGCCAACCCGTGAGGGGCTTAAGTATCTCAGACTTCACCATGATGATCTTGAACTTAGGGAGCCTTTCCACTGAGAGCGACGCTTTTCAATTTCCAGTGTCTGTCCGAGGGATGAAGGTTGCCCCTCCCGATATCCAAATAATTCATGCACTGGCTGTTTCAAGCTTTGGACTGCCTGCATACTCGATGTTGTGTTCTTTTCCGCTGGTATGTGAAAATACGGTGACCCCTTTTAACTCTCACTACACCTACAAACGGTAATAACACAGCATTCGTGATAACAATAAGTAGTATACTCTATCATCATGAAAGAGAATTAACTCCTGAACATCCTATATAACAGTTATTTACTAGCTGAACGGGTTATCGCATCGCATTTGGCCGTAGATAGGCCTGGGTCGACGCCGATGAACAAGCTGCACCTTCGGGATTATTTTGAGCCACAGTTGCCTCATATTTCATCACCACCAGGCCGAAGCCAATCAAAGGTATCCAGCAGATCAAAGTTGAAGTCGAGCTGCATGGGAAACCCCCAGTCCACCGACTCCAGCATCTCTCCCCCGACTCTCTCATCAGGCGCATTCAAGTGCTCGTCGAGCACCCTCTGAATAATCAATTTGGAATCAGCGCACAGGGTCCCATTCGGTGCCGAGGGCCGCATCCAGTCCAGGAAAGCAACGACAAGGCTCAGCTTTTGAATGATGCTTGAGCGAGTCAGACGCGCGTCTTTGGGATGCGAGCGCTTGAATGTTGGACGGAGAAGTTCCACGCACAGGATACCGGCGGCGGGGACCGCATAGGAGATGAACTGAGGGAGAAGGGAGGTTAGAATAAGTGAATAAGTTTGGCTTTCGGGAGCAAATTACTCACCAGCCAACCAGCATGCCTTTGACGTTGAGCAGCCGCTCGGTCTCTCTGGTTCAAGCAGAGCGTCATGGCCAGCATGTCGAAGCTCGTTATCAGCAAGTCCCCTGAGTCTGGGTATCCGTGCCGGAGCAGAAGCCTTTGAACAAGAAACAGACTCTGCACATGCTCTAATCTGAGGAGTATCTTCCCGAAGCGTTGGTCATTCATCGCATCCGGCTCCTCGAGATCCTTTGGTGAGTACTTGAACCACGCTGGCAGCTGATTGTCCAACGCTGAGTGTTTTTCTTGTAGCGACCTATGAGGTAGAGTATTAGTTCATGTATTAGTGAACGACCAGCATGAAAACTCCTTTAGCTTACAACAACTGATCAATCGTCACATGGTTGGGATCCCCAAGAGCAACCTCAATCAACTCATCGCGGATCAACGCTGCTATATAGCGGGCCCGGATGAGTGTCGATGAATAAAGCCGCCCTTTTGTGTTCCACCCATTCGCGTCGAGGGCCCGAACAGCCTGTTCAAACGCTATGGGATCTGCGGCCAGCTCCTCGTCCGAAAGATCCAGTAGCAGCGGCGTCCTGCAGAACCGGCGGCTGATCAGCGGTGGCCTGCCAGTGAAGCAGACAAAAAGCTTGTCGCTGATGAATGTTTGCGCGAACAGGCGACGCTTATACTCTGAGGACAGTGAAGCTTTGTAATCTGCTGATCCTTGCTGGGCGTGCAGCCCGAGATATGTCGCCATGGCGACGTTGAGGCCGTGTAGGAGCGAACAGGAATATGTGCCATCACCGTCGACAACGGTATGCAAGGCCGATTGCCTGCGACAGATATCGACAAGCACGTCGTTTCCATCGCAGAGATGCCGAGATATATCGATGCAGTAGTCCACACAAGTCCGACAAGTTTCATGAGATTCCTTGCCGTCCTTCCAAGCTACTCGCCGAGTGAGCGGAGAGTCGACGGGATCGGACACGCGGTTCATGTGTAACCAGAGAATACCGAGAGCTTCCCACCTGAGACTCGTACCGCAGAACTGATCTAAGAAATCACTGGAACTGCTAGTGACATCTCGCCAAGGCTGCGCAGTGTTATGACAAAGCAGTTCTGCGATAGACTTCAGCGCGACTGCCTCGTCCTCAGCGGCAAAGTTTTCGAAGAGCGAGTTGATGGATGCGATTATGCGGTCCACCGCAATATGCATAAACCCGGTCGAGGCAAACGAGGAATCATTGAACACCATCTGCTCGTTAGCCTGTCCTGGAAGGGTCTGCAGCACATAAATGGCCATCTCTCTCAAAGGAGCCAGCAGCCTCTCAAACGAGACGAACTGGCGCGTCGAGTGGTCGAGGCGACCATAAGTTGGTGTTGACCCGTTGGCGAGCGAGAGCGTGCCAATTGTTTCGTTCAAGACGCTGTTGTAGCTGATCTCCCCCAGGTACCCAGTGCTTATCCTCGTTGGGTTGTCTATCGACCGCTGCTGATACTGCGAAATCGAGGACAGGGCCGAACTTGGCGTGTCTGGCTGTGATGGATTCCGCGATGGGACACCGAGAGGACGAGGATTCGACTGCGAATAGACGCACCGGGCGCTCTGCTCCCGTCTCTGGCATCTCAAGCATACTGGTCGCGTGTGATCGCACGCGACTTTTCGAGATCTACACGGGTCACAAGCAGCCGGGCGGCCATTCCGGCGACGGTGCGAGCTGGATGTCATGGGCCGCGGTGAAACTGTTCTTCCTTTGTTGATACTGAACTGAAGTAGGATTCGAAGGCTCGGTGATGACTCTTACTTCGCGTCCGAGTTCGGTTCTAGCAAACGGCCGGGATCAAGATGGGACTCGTGATCGTGATTTGGCCAATAGAAGCTTAACATTCAACCACCTCGGCCAGCAGGCCTGTGTTACAGCGACTATGAGTTGAAATAGCGGATGGTTGGAACATGGAGAGGCCTATATCCGGACCCACGTTCGCAATCCTTCAGCAAGGTTGTCACCTATCGGCAGCATGAAAGTACAGCACGCATCAACATCTTTAGGGCTGTTCTGGTACTAAAAATCAAGCTGACGTAGACCTTCGTTATCCATTCCGGCTATGTCTACCGCCTCTTTGCGAAGAAACCTAGCACGATGTTCCAGACAATGCCTAATGTAAAGCCGGTCTGGCTTTCAGCATACTCTCTGGGCCTGTCACCCACATCTGCCATCTTGCAAGCCAACTCAACAACTGCAGAGGGAAAGTGTTTCGATGAGCGAGCATATGCAGCAACTAGGTCGTTTCCATTTGTGATGCCTCCTAGATCGAATGATTAGAAAAGAAAACTAGAGAGCATTTCGAGTACAGAGGAAGGAAAAAAGAAAACGGCGTACCGCTTGACCAAAAGTTTCCGTCCTGGACCCATCTGTATTTCTCGCCAACAAATGTTGCTGTCGGATACAGCTTCTTCAGCGCGTCTTGTAAGCCTCTTGGGCCGCATACTGTCCGGCCGTCCAATAAGCCGGCCGAGCCACAGAGGTAAATGCCAGTACAGACACTAAGGACGTCGGTGTTTGGGCTCTTTGAGTGGCCGAGCAGAAAATCCAAGATGGGCTTGTCCCATTTAGCTTCCGGATCGGGGCCGGGAACCAAGACAATGTCGAGTTTCCCAGGCTGCACATCAGGGTGTATGATATCGTGTGTTGCTCGGACTGTCATGTTGGATGACAGCGCAACCATCTGCCCATCAGTCGCAGGCGCGGTAATGTAAGATATATTGACACTGGGCGCGATGTCTGCAATGTGCGAAGGCAGCAGTGTTAGGAGTGAAAGATACTCCTTGCTCATCATGTGCAGGACATCAACGCAGGCGAGATCGAGTAGCTGTGTCTCTCCGGGTATGAAAACCCCAAGCCGGACGCTAGGTTTGCTAGACATTTTGCAAGGTAATAAACAATGACCCCTGTCGCAAATGTCAAAATGGATTATCTAGAGCTGGATGTGAAATACAGAATTGCTTCATTGTCCTCATAGAAGGGCGAGACGCTTTGGCTTAAGGAGGCTCAAAGTCTCCGGAAAATCGGGTCGACGGGGCATCTTCTCTCCCGTCGCCGAACTCCATCGGGTGTCCGGTCGAAATGCATCACACTTTCTCGGCGAGTGCAACCGGCGAGTACATTGAGTTCAATACTGTACTCGCGACTTGATTCTGCCCTTAGTTGCTTGTAGGTATCATCGTAGGACGGCTTAGACATAATGAAGGAGAGAGACGCGCCTCAAATATAGGTTAAACCAGATATCGATTGAAAGTCATTGGTTTAAAAAAGAAAAGGAAATAAAAACACGACGTGTGTGACTTTGGATCTGATCGTATGTCAGCTTTCAGCTCATCTCGCGGCCACGCCTCATAATACTACATTGCATGACTCACTCGTCAGCTCTGCCTGTTCGAGGAAAATGAGCCATGATGAGCCTTCCAGGCATCGCCCCTTTGAAAAAGGTAATAAATGAAAGATAGTCCATGATGGTGACGCTAAATGGCCAGATAATTTCATCATTCTGCTGCTCAGGAAAATCGTGAGGAGCTGCTCCCACTGTCAACGAAATGGCCTCGCTTCTAGAAAACCTGCCGAATGAAATCATGCTTCATATTTTCAGATATATCAATCCGGGAGATCTCGACGCCACGCAGGCACGGCTTATAAAGTGTAGCAAGGCTCTTCGTCGGCGCTTTGAGCCGTGGTTGTACTCGTCACAAGAGTCTTGTGACAGAATCGTACGCCTGGCATGTATCCGCGGATTGAACGAGACAATTAAGCTGGCTGTTGGTACCTACAATGCATCACCCAGCACTGTCACCATATGGCAGAGAAATGGCAGAGGCAAGCCAGCTAGGCCCCTCAAGATCTTAACACTTCACCTTGCGACCAAGAAAATGAAATCGGATACATTTGAGCTCCTTTTGAAGCTTGGGGCTAGAGTCGATGTTGGGGACATCAACTCGGTTGTGGCAACTTCGCAAATCTCTCGTATCCTCAAGGCTCTGCATATTGACCATGCAAAAATGCTGCACCCGTTTTTCACATCAGGCACTGCTGGACAAGTGCAGCACATCTCCGTGGCAGACCATTGCCTCGTCCCGGCTATCATCAACAAAGCGTCTGTCGAGACCGTTCAGTTGCTCCTCGACCATGGAGCCAGCCCTAACCGACTTGAGGCTGGCGACGTTCGAATGAATGCACTCTCTGCAGCAGTCAAAGTCGGGTCGATAAACATCTTTACGCTGCTATTAGACAGGGGCGCTGATTTGAATGTGAAAGGGGCTTTGTCTCGGGGGAGATCTATATTCGAGGTTCCCGTCCTTGCTGCTGCTCAAGCCATGGCAGAATTTCAATCAACGGAAATGCTACAGCTTTGTATTGACCATGGTGGCTCCCTCGACGTCAACCTCCGATTTCAACATCGACATTCGAGGACCTTCATGACGGTCCTGCTCGCCTATCTCGACGCCATAGCTGATTGGCAGGTCACCTTTAGGCTTTCTCCGGCCCAGGCAGTCTCTTTTATTTTACATCATCTTGGCCATCACGAGAGCGGTTACAGGCACAAGGAAGAGGCGAACCCTGGACATGATCGCCTTCTCATTGGGCAAATCCTGGAGATGCTTGTTCGAAAATGGGGAGTCAACTATTTGGAAGTGGACGAATTTTTCCACGTAATTAAGCTCCTCGCATTAGAATCCAGCAGGTTCGACTGCGATATTCTCGATTTTTTGTTGTGCATGAGTGTCTCAAGTCCTCTTACCTCAGGTGCTTCTTCGCGTTGGTTAGAGGTGCTGAACATTCTTTTCCAGTGCCGAGACCATACTGAAATGGGAAGGATACTCTATCAGTTCGTTCTATACTGTGAGGATACCAAATACATATCTAAGCGGGAAAATGTGGAAATTCTCGTCGACCGCCTCATCCAGTCAGGGGCTGATATCAATTTCAGTCCACATGAGGATATATCTTCATATCCAGTTCTTCACGCCGTTTGTAACCAAATCGACAAAGAAACCAGAAAGATGGAAGAGGAAAGACTCATATTTTTTGGATGGCAATATGAGATAGATTCAAGATCTTGGTTACTCGAGATGATTGTCCGCAAGGGCGGAGATGCCACATTGCGGTTCAATGGACTGACCGCGCTTGACCGGCTCCGGCGTACAAGGCATCATCACGTCGAAACCAGGATTTACATTTCCCATCTAACTGGCTACTTGAACTATCCGGGAGGAGTTATGGATGGCCTTGAGGACTTTGTTGAGTTTTCCGGATTATTCTCCGATGAATAATACAACTGGGATTTACTTCTGCGAATAGATGGGGTTGCATTGTAATAATTAATATTCAAAACTATCTCTTCCAAACGAGATAATTATATTTACTTGCACCTACTTTGTAGAGTCGGAAGACCAAGCCAATCTCCTTATCCCTTACCACTCCCTACATGTGAGGCGACTATCATCATCTTCATAGGAAAAAGTCATGCTTTTGTTGAGTACAGTGCTTGAAAAGTTTCAATGATTCTCAATGATTGGGTAGCTAGAACCCGCCGACACTTTCTAGCTTTGACAATCATTAGTTTTGAGACACAAAGGGTATGCTAACTACCGACAAGGCGTTCAAGATAGAGATACATCCCATTGAACACAAAGATCGTGTTGATCTCAAAAAAGACTACTTGGAAATAAAAAAAAAGGATGCGCATTTGACTTATGGGAGGCAGGGAAACAAAATACTTAAGGATACAAGTAAATGTGTCCTGAAGAATATTATTGATTAAATTCCTAGCCATGTTCTACACCATCCATATTACTACTATGTACTTGCCAACTAGTAGTTCCTTCTTCATCCTACCATACTCTTGATCGCAATCGCGAGCTTTGGTTAAAGACTACCACCGTTAGTTTGAGTATAGTTAATTCCCCGACTAATAAGACAAGGGTTTCCAATTGGGAGCTCGTTAGGCTGACCATATCTGTTCTTTCACATTGCAGTGGTGTCTATCGTCTATGACTGGGCAGTTCAAAACGCCGTCTGACGCTAGGATGATTTCTTCTGGTAACTGCCTGCAGCACGGTCCCGTAATAGTCCGTGGGCACGTCAAGACTAGCACCATGTTCGAGGAGAAGCTCGACGACCTCAGTCTTGCCACGTACCGCCGCAATGCTCAACGCCGTGCCGCTCATGGGGGCAACTCGGTCAATGAGGGCGCCCCTGTCGAGCAGCAACTTCACGAGGTCTTTGTGACCTCGGGCTGCCGCCAAGTGCAGCGGAAGAAACCCTTCAGAATTAGGTGTGTTTACCTCCGCGCCGTCTAAGATTAATCGCCGAGCAATCTGGACCTCGTCGGTTGCGAGGGCTTCCACCAAGGTATAGTGTTCGTCCCGGCGAGACTGCATCGAGTCCCTCAACTTCTTGATAGTTAATGTGACCCAAGATCTAATAGCCGTGCGGAAGCTGTCGACTGAAACAGGTTCAGGCGTTGAACACGGTCGGTCCCCAATTTGAGCTAATATTCTGTAATCTCGTATGTTCTGGACCAGCTCGTAGAAAAGGATTTCGACAGGAGATGTGTCCGTCACTATGATCTCCACGAACTTTACCCCAAGCTCTGCACCAAGTTCGATTCCCTCCTCCGTTGAGACCGCTCTTAAATCTCCCATTCCAGGCATATTGCCCGCTAGGATCATGGGCATCGGTGGTATTCGGCGTTGATGCCAAAAACGCCGGCTTGGGTCGATCTCGCTCCGCACTCGCTCGATTGCGTTGTACTCTTTCCGCACTCTTTCGAACGCGGTTCGGCTCGTAACACTGTACACGAGCAGCACAGCATCGGCGTCCCGGATGAACTCTTCAGCTAACATCGTAGAGCCGCCAGGTAGTGCGGAAAAGTTCTCCGACATGAATGCTTCCGCTTCTGTATCGCCTTGTGCTCCAGTGTCTGCATTCTCTCCGATATTAGTTGTACTTCCACCGGCCTTCAGTCTACTGAAGTGGTGGTTGCAGTAAGTAGTTGTTACATCATCCTCGCCGACGCTGCCTAATGCCATGAGTAGTAACCTCATTGGTCTTCTCGTTGCGGAAGACGACATTTTGACGGTGGATTGGATGTGCATCAATGGCTAAACAGACTACAACTGAGCTTGGGTACATACAAATATATATCCGCAGTTCAGATCGGGACAACGAACGGTTGTCAGCCAACAAATGTCGAGAAACTTAAAATAGCCTCAGATAAAACGGCGTGTACGATGAAGTGCCAGTCTTTATGTCACGCCTAGCTGACTGACTCTTTAAAGGGAATGTCCAACACGCGGGGTTGCTCCAGTTTCGAACTTTGGTTTGCCATGATGGCATAGAGTGACTTGGTTGTGAACTGCTGGTGGCACCTAAAAATAGCCCGCTAACAAGGATAATTGGGCTTAGCCGACATGTTGTACAGGCTTGATTGTCACAGCGGCCGTCCAGCGCGGCCTCGTATTATGGTACACGCCTTCATTGACAAAACAGCTTAGACTAACAAACACGAGAGATCAGGCAACAGTTCGCCTAAGCAGGCAGACAATTATGTGCCCCGCCAACACCCGAGTTTTGTAAATAGCAACCAGATGCTGACTCAAGCCTACCAATAAAAAACCTGAAGGGACCATTCTTCTGGCACATATGTGCCATGGTCCACCTGACCAACTCTTTCTTCCCGGCTAGCTGGCCGGGCCGTCCAAGCCACTGGCCGCCTTTTGTGGCTTTGAGTCCGTGTAGAAAGTGGCTGTGCCGAGGCCGGAGGCCGGTGGCGCAAGTTCGTCGTTGCCCCTAGAGTACCCCAGTGACTAACATCAGGAAGCATTGAGTGAGCCCAAGTCTATAATAGTTGTCTTCCGGAGATTCCCCTATAGTTTCATACATATACCCAAGGTATAAATCATCTTGCAAATTTAAGGTCGTCTGAGACCCCAATACATCTCAAACAACCCAGTGCGTCGGCGTTGATCCTCATAACGAAATTGTGAGTGACTATGCCTGTTAATGCTCCAAATCTTCAGCCTCCATACCTGTGCATAATATTAAATAAAGAGAGTTGGCATGTCTCGAGTGCCCCTGATAAATTGTTTTATGGGATCGTGTCCTCCAACAAGGTCTTGAGAATGTCTTCCACTGTTTCAAGTCCATCATGGATCAGATCTGCCCGAAGAATCTGAAAAGTCCCTCGGTCCCTCTCATCCGGAAGTCTACTCGAGAATCGGTTCTCCAAGTCGGTCAGGTAGTCTTCCTTGTAGCCTGGAAAGCCTGGCAAGCTTGAAGAGGTGAAATCGGGAAAGCAATCCGTCACCGGATTCCGCACGAATATATTGTCAAGTTTATCTATGTGAGTCAGTATGAGCACCAGGCGGGTGTTTGTAAACTGGCGGTGGTTTGCAATGGATTCAAATAGGGTCAATTCTTCTGCCACGCGAAGCTCATTCTCATCCTCACACAGGACTTTCGAATAGGAGGTAGCGTCAGCCGTGAAAATGACCACCGAAGTATTCGGGAACGCATGAATCCATTTCTTTCGCTGTGATTTATTCCCGCCCACATCACAGATCTGGAAGGGTCGGGAGTTGTAGTGCATAGTGGTCTCGTAAATCCCTGTGGTTTTGACAAACACCTGGAGGATATCTTGCGTGGTGGGCGTATAGCGATGCTGGCCTCGGTCAGCCAGGTGCTGGATTCGGCCAGCTAGCTGTTTGATATTGGCCGGTTGCGTGCGATACGACCAGTAAAATCCTCGCAAAAAATTCTTGTCTTTCCAAAGGGAGGAGATGGCGGCTTCCACATCTCGGATTTCGGAGCGAGGCTGATTGCGTAGAGTCTTAATGTGAGGCTTGTTTATGTCCGGGTACTGCAGGAAGGTACCATTTTTTTTCATAAAATCCAACACCGTCATAGTTTCATTGGCCAAATAGGTTCGCATGGTGTCTGCCCAGACGGCGCGCTCCTCCTCGGTGGGTTCCCCATCAATAAGATATTGGATGCGTTTCAGCAATGTGGTCTTCCCAGATTGCGATGCCCCAAGTATCAATATTTTGTTGCTGGGCTTTTGTTCCACATAATGGGTTTCTTGCTGAGGCATGGACTTACGCCGCGAGCGCCATGGAGTAACTTCCAGCCAGCTTCCAGGATGAAGTCCTTCCCCGGATCGCACTGCATGAGAAAATCTCGAGCGCAAGGGTACACGGCTATAGCTTGGCTCACTGTGTGTGGATTCGCCTGACTCTTCCTTGATGGGCCCTAACGTAATCTCGGATTGTGTTTGAAATGGTGCTTCTTCTTTATAGAATGACACATCTGGACGGCCGGCTCTGATTGCCTGCCTCAAATGTGATCTGTGAGCGTTTTGATAAACCCGAGAGCCCGCAATGACAGCATCGAAGTCGAATTGAACGCTCAGAGCGTTTGTATTATCTGAATACATGCTAGTCCTATTGTCACCGAGCCCTGCAATCGAGGACGTGCAGTCTCTGCCTGATGCAAGTATAGCTTGGCTGCCGCTTTGCCAAATCTTGAACTTTTGCTCAGCCCACGTATTGCTAAGATCTCGTTAGTACAGAACTAGTGAAGCTTAAAGGTCTAGGCAAGGCTTGCCATTGTATAGCCTGCAGAAAGAGATTTACCACGTTGACCTGTCGGTCGAGCATGCTTAAATAAACATCTATGTCTTTCTCGTTCCACATGTATTGTAACTTGCTCTGCATATGCAAGGAGTCACAGTCTGACTCTGTTTCAAACTTGTCAAGGTATTGCTCTAGCGCCAAGATGAGAGGACAAAAGCTGTCTAGTGAGGCTTCTATCTGAGAGGCCAGTTGAAGATACCGTGATTCATTAAGGAAGGCAGACGATTTCCACTGCATTAATTGGCCAACTGCTGCCTGGATAATGTAAAGCTGGCCAACTAAGGTGGTGATCTGGAAAGGCGCATTATGATATCGGCTCCTGAGGTCGCTCAGTTTTCGAATGCTCTTCGCGACCACATCGCCAATGGAAACGACTGATCCGATCAAGCCAACAATTGTAATGGGATCCATCACGACTGGTGAACAAACCCATAGGATTGCAGTGGAGTTTCAACCGGGAATTCCCTTGGGAATATGCCTGAGATGTGAAGGGTTTTGCCCATTCTGAGCTGTCAGCCCATGGTGGCTGAGCGGGGTATAAAAACAGGCAAGGCATTTATTTAATACGTTCACTTTCCTCAATTGTTTCCCCGATGGCGGTAAATAGCTTAGATAAGCTCAGAATGCCATCACATGCAACATGGTAAGCGTCATGTCCGGTCGTGTTGTTGTGGCGGTTTGTCATTCGCCAGTGCAACAGTAAGCAGAAACTGCATTAATTCGTTAGACATTCTGAGAACAGACCCGAGGACTATCTGGAAATTGTACATGCTCAACCTTATTCCCTTCTTAGATTGTTATCTTCTAATAAAAAGGATTTGCCTGATACGTATCTGACAGATTTTCCAATCTATCATTTTCCTCCGTCTACTAGGTCGCGCCCTTTCAACCCTTCTTCCCAATCTTGTGAAGACTCGAGACAATCTTATCCCGACGTTTCAACACTATATGCTTGCCATTCTGTGACCATCCTCTATGTATGATTGAGTCTTGGGTTCTATGGTTTGGCCAATCTTCCAGGCCAGCTTGGAACAAAGGCCCAGAGAAAGACCATTCCAAAAGCAGCAATCCCAAGAGCCCATCCACCGTGGAGGCCCTCAATATATGCGTGTCTCACTCCTTCAAGCTCTTGGCCCTGGTATGCATCCTTTATTCCTTCAGCACCAGCGGCAAGAACGGCATGGGGATCAATACTAGGAACATAGTGAGGGAGTTTCTGCAAAAGGAGGTTGTTTAGAATAGCATCAGAAACAGCCACGCCCCAGCCACCCGCAAGGAGCATGAAGACTGCAAGAGCAAGAACATAGTGTCAGTATGGTAGACGGGTCTGGGATTAACGATTGTGTGCAAAACTAACAGGAAACAGTGGCCACTGCGATAGACACATCTTCAGCGCGACTTGATACGGTGGCTACAAGGTTTGGAGTTTGCACCCCGAGACCTGTACCGGCTCCGTATAAGATCTGGTACCCAATGATGGGACCTAGGCCTGTGTTGATATCGCACGTGTAAATGAGGCCACCGGCGATGGTAGAGATGAGCCCCGAGGCAATCAAGAACGGCTGGTAGAATTGAAGCTTGCCGATTGCGATTGATGCGACCATGGTAGAAACAGCTGAATTGTGTGAGATATAATTAGCACAGGACTTGAACACAGACGGCTATGCGAGCAAACTTACCCGTGGACAAGATAGACGGGATCATCTTGATACCGCTCTGTACAGGGGTATCCCCTTGGATGGCTTGAAAGTAGATGGGGAGATTATACTGCAGCGCAATGTTTGCCGCGTTCAGGCTATTTCCCAAGTAAGTGAAACAGTCAAGAGTATGGATCAGGAGGGACTTACAAGAAAATCAGCCCAGAGCAACCGCCAATAGACCTCGTGCGTAGCAATCGATAGACTATAAGAGCTCGATCACCTTGGAACCACTCATTAAGAGCGAAGAGAGCCAAGAGCACCACGCAACCGACTAGAAGCCCAATGACCTCGGAAGAGCTCCAAGGCTTTGCCACACCGCCCCATTGCACGGCGAGGAAGAAACAGAGGACACCCGAAAACATGAGGACAAGTCCCACGGGATCAAAGTTCTTGACGATCTCCTTCATGGGGACTTGGTGACTCAGTTTAGCGCGCGCCGGGGTTCTGAAGAAAACCGCCATGCAGCCCATGGTGAGGCCACCGATGGGCAGATTGATATAAAAGCACCAGCGCCACGACACGCCAGAGGTGAAGGCACCGCCAAGGAGAGGTCCCGCGACGCTGGCAACGGTGAAGACGGAACCCATCAGCCCGACCACTGTTGGCTGCACGCTGGGCGGCACGACGAATGCTGATATGGTGTAGCCTCCGCCTGCTACGCCTGCGGCTCCCGCGCCCTGGATGGCACGCCCGATGATGAGGGCTGTGCTCGATGGGGCGAGGGCACAGAGTAGGCTGCCGACTTCGAAGATGGCAATGGCCAAGATGTAAACAATTCGCAACGAGAAGTACTTGTAGGCTTTTCCCCATGCCGCAATGAATGTAGCCAATGTTAGGAAGAAGGCGCTGTGCGTGAGATAAGTAATGTTAGCAATCCTCGCCAATAATTTATACACTTTAGGGCATTCATTTTCTTTCAATATACAGAGAGAAAACCTTTCACCCCACGGGTCATTCGGGTCAAGGGGTTTCTCGAAAAGGTAGATGAGAGGGAGTTCAATGCATACCTTCCATACCAGCCGGCGTCGGCCATACTGTTGAATTCGGTCGTGATTTTCGGAATGGCAGTGCCTACGATGCTCTTTACTTGGTATTAGATCGATGGAAGCCTATTTATTGCATTCGGAACCTTGGCTTACCATGTCAAGAGCAATCTGCGGTAGGGAGGTTGTTAGCGGTCAGCCGAGGGAATTATAGGTTTGTATCACTTACTAGAAAAGTGGCTAGCATCAGACTCAAGACCACGATGCTGCGAACCAAGATAGAAGGGTAGACTATTGCCTCCCTTCCCTCGGCTGGATCGTCCTTCTGGCTTGTCGTGGCATCATCGCTGCTTTGTTTCTCGCACTTCGCAGGGGGGTGGCTTGGTGCTGCGTCGTTGGTGGTTTCCATCTCTGGCAACAAAAGAGAAAAAGCAGAAAAGTGATAATGTATCGATTGAATATAAAGAAGGCCATAGCAATAATACATGGGAAATTCTTCAAGGGATCTCGAGAAAGAAATGGCGAGTCTTTATACACCAGCCTCAGCACAGGCAACCCGATTAGGAATGACTTGTCTCATTGGCTAGATGCCCCTGTATACCCATAATTATCTCATCCCAATTAGGAAAAACTTCTCTCATTGGTCCAGCTCTCGAAGCGTGGAGAAGAGTGGTGCTGGACACAGCCATTCGATCCCTTCATCTTTATCAGGTTTTCAGTCATAGAGGCTGAAATTGGGGTCGAGCCAATCTCGGGGTTCGGATTTATGTGGAATGTCTTAGAAACTTTCCAGGATTCTTCTTTCCTCAGGGACAAGGGGGGATTATGGAAGGCAAATTGTCAAGTTACCAAACGGATGAACATTTTGGATCTAATTTCTTTGGCCATTGCTGCAGCATCAGAGATTCCAGATGGTTGCCACGTCATGAAAAGATCCCGCCACTAGTTGTCGCGCGTCTGGTGAGAAGGTAATGGATGATACCTTCGCTTCACTACGCAACGTCCATTTCTTGTCAAACAGGTTTCCGTGCACGTTCTTCTCCCATACGACAATTCCAACCTGCGGCTGCTGGAGGACTGTTGCCAGGAATTTTCCATCAGATGAGAACGCAGCCATGGTTGGCTCCTGATCCCGTAGTTGCTGCATTTCCTCATACGACTCGAACTCCTTCTTGCGTAAGAGAACGAACTCACCATACTGGCCCCTCGCTGCCAATAGGCTGCCGTCCGGCGAGAAATTTATCACTTCCCATGACAGCGTCCGGTATTTCAAAAACCCAGAGGTGCCAAGAGACCGCCAAATGACGGAAGTGGTGTTGTCAATGTACTGTACAAACTGTCCCCCATCCGGTGACACCACAATCCACTTAACACGGTTTCCAAGCATGATCGACGCCAGGGTTGTCAATTCGTTGCCGTGAGATAAGTAAAACGCACGCATCTGAAACTCATCTTGGCTGCTGAATCGGCCTGTTCTATGACCGCCTAGTATGAGGGTTGTCGAATCCTGCGAGAGGGCCCATGCATCCAAGTAGAGGTCTTTAACTGGCAAGTGGTGTTTCTTTTCGAATTCATAATGTCCGTCTTTCTTTTGCCATAGTTCAAGTGACCGAATGTCGCGAAGATTGCGCGTCAGGGCAACAATTCGCCAGTAAGTCACTGCGATGCATTCTATGACCTGCCAGTCAGGATTTCTTAGGGTGTCCATTTCTTTGAATTTCCCATCTTCTCCTATAGTATAGGAGTGAATCGCATATTCCATGCATATGACGAGAGTTTTCCTGTCTGAGGTGTAAGCGGCGGAGACCATCACACCGTCCTTTCCACCGCCCACCCTTAGATCTTGGGCACGCGGGAGGCTCGGATTCTCGGAGGTCTGATGTGCATTCGTAGTGCGAGGGGAAGAGCCGGTTCCCTTGTCCTGACGCTCAAAAACCTCGTCCAGGGGAGCCTTTTCATCATTCGGTGGCTCTGAGCGGACACCAGTCCAAGTCTTGGCTGAAACGTCCGCAATTGTGCCTATTCTTGGAGTATTGGATCTAGACGTGCCCGAGGCTTTGATCAACAGCTCTGTTTTTTCCTCGGCACCACATGACATAGTTGGCCACTCTGCCGAGGCCTCGACAGTCGAATCCTCGACTCCCAGCTTGAGCTCTTCAATCGGAATCACCTGTTCCTCGTTTAAATCTATTGAGATGGATGAAGCTAAATTTAGCCACGTGTGAGTCAAAGCTTCGGTTGCGGTTGGTCGTTGCTTCGGTGAGGAGTGCATTGCGCTGCTAACAAATGCATTGCATTCCGCACTGAGAGATTTCTCGAAGGGAAACGCGGAACCTTGGACAACATAGGAATACAAGTCCCGTGGCGCGCTAAATACCATACCCCCAGTGGCCATTCTAAAGGCAATGGCGCCAACTCCCCAGATGTCCAACGCAAGAGAGAAGAGCCGTTCGCTGTTGTCCGCCATGTCAGCTGGCGTGAAGATCCCACGGACTTCGGGCGCCTGGTATGTCTCGGTCCCTACGCTTGTGCGCAGGGCAGTTGTCTCGATTTGCTTAGTCGTACCAAAGTCGGAAATCTTCACCCACCAATTTGGGCCTGCGTGTTGAACGAGGATATTCTGTATTACTTGAGTCAGCCCCTTGGTGGTTTTGACCATTCCTCCAAATTCTCTCAGTGAAGCAACTGACATTTGGTTTTAAATCCCGGTGGGCAAACTTGTTCTTGTGCATGAATTCCAGCCCCTCCAGGACCTGGAGAATTATCAAGCTGGTCTCGGCCTCTGGAAGAGGATTCTTTAGATATCTCGACAAGTCGCCATGAGGGAGGTACTCCATGGCGATATATAGATAATCCTGACTATCGTACCATCCAAATGACTGAACAAAGCAATGCCGATACTAAGAGAGGGTAAGCAAATATATGAACTGGTGGGTGTGTGGGCTGTAAGCACCAATTCGTGAGAGAATTTCATGATGGCCGAGAGTTCCCCTGACAGAGCCTTGGTAGAGACGGACATGGGACCAAAGTTCTTATAGATTTGTTTTACAGCTCTCACTTGGCCAGCGCTGGGACCTGAGGTGCATCGCTCAAACCAAACGGTGCCAAAGGTGCCGTGGCCGAGGGCCTTGGTGTCCTCTCGCTCCCATTTCTCCTCGATTGCCCTCCGCCGTATGCCTCTAGCGGGATCCGAGATGTACTTGGTATGAATGGTATACCCCGGTCTGATTGTGCATTGGAGCTCCCAGTCGCGGGCCAAATCTGATATCAAATCCTCCATTTGACGGGTTGCTTATGTTTGTGTAGGGTTTCATGGAGGCTGAGAATGCAGTGGCTCGACTGGCAATATGCTTATGCTAACGCTTAGATAATCGGAGCGTGTAGCGGTTATGCACATAACGTGGATGCAACCGCAGCCCAGTTGGCGGGGAACAACGACCCCCTTTGAGGGATAGAAACACCTCGTCATTGCACCTCATTTTGACCTGGCGGGAGCGGCAGCGCTCACACACTTCTCTTCGGCTTTGGTCTGTGCGGTCAATCCAAGAGTCAGCTAGAAGAAGGGAGCAGCGAATGAACTTATTGGGACGACTACTGGGCCTAGAACGAGTAAATACACGAAATACTGCCTTTAAGTAGCTAATGAATATGGATGAAGGATCGTTATGACAAGAATTTCTTTGGACTTAACATCGTAGGTTATATCTGTGTATGTGCAAATAGAGAATGTGGCTGGATGGCTTTTGGCTGGGCTCCTAAAAGGCGTCACGTACTGGCTCAGAGTCTCCCCTCTCAACGGGCCGTTGATTCGCTTAAGTCTGGCCCCCGAGTTTGATAATCAGTAACTCTGCAGGGCGAGTACATCGCGGGAAGGCAGCACGGAGCGCGCTGACCACTGCGCCACAGGGGCCGTTGTTATAGTTGAGTGAAATACCCGGGGAACTAATAGATAAGTGTCACAGATTAGGCCAAACTAGCCAAAAGGAAAATTCCTTGCCTAGTCTTCCACGGTTGCCCTTATATAGCGCCTGTCATAATAAGGCATTGCTTTCTGTGCCTTGGTTTGGCGGAAGGCCACGACGCAGTCAGCTTCCCGGAACGCATCAAAGCCACTCATTTCTGAGCCGACAGTTTGACTTTTGCTGTGCTAGCCCTTTCTATTGCAACTCTTGCCATGCACTGCGGGCAAAGTTCTGAGGTTAAGCCAAACGGTCAGACTGTGCTTGGATGGTTGCATGGCACTGCAGATTTTCGGCCGTTTGAGACACCATCCCAGGATATCGAAAGGATGAGCGAGCCCCAAATAAAAGTTTAGCCTATATTGATTTTAGTTTTGTTGCATTGAAGTATTTGAAGACTCAGCATGCCCATTATCACGAGATGGACCGACTCCATGCTTCCTCACTTGTCATAAATATAGGCTCATGTCCATCGCCAAGAGATGCCCCAGAGTCCTCAGCCCCTGTATTAGGTCTATTATTCTGACATGAAAGGATGTTTTTTGAACAGGTGTTCTCATATTAAGACTACTAACTCCCATAGATGTCTAGAAAGCTCAGTATGCATGTGGTGAATCCACGGAAAGCGGCACAGGATGCTCTCCATGTGCGTCCAGCTCTCAATAGCTAACAGCTGAGTAATTTCGTTTATACGCTGTAGTAGCCATGGCTGATCTGATTCTTCCAATACTGATATTCCACCAATGAAGAGTAGCCATAATAGAGGCCTCTTGTCCGGCTCACTTTGTCCCCGGTTGACGATGTCCCGTAAACGCCGAGCAACAAGGTGATATTTTAGAAATCTTCTGCCTCCGGTTTGCAGGAATAGTGTAGTTAGAAAAGCGATCAGGCCAATGTGATATACCGAGTTCGGATAACCTTCCATGGGAGGACTGCCCAACGAGTGAAATCGAACCAGACGGTATCCCACTGATACAATGATCTCTTGCAGATCATCCGGGTCAGCGTCGCAGGTGTCGTCATTATTGAACCAAAACGCAAGACTATTGACATCCTGAATTATTTTCTGGAGATCCGGGCTTGACTCTGCCGAGCATGGCGTAGAGAAGACAGAGCTCCCGCCGACAAGGCTACATGTAGGCATGCCCAACTTCTGGGCAGCCTGGGCCATGCGATCCCGAAATAAAACAACTGACGCCCCGTAGTGAAGTGCAAAATCGATGTCGGTTCTGCTGAGTCTTAGTATGAAGGTTGGGCCATTTGAAGATTTGTAGTGGGACTCACTTGGCTAATTTCAAAGCCAGGGTACGGTCCTCTACCATGCAGAGGCCACCGCGCAGTTCCAGCATCTTGTGCAGACCTCGTAGATGTATCTTTGCGCTGGCTTCGTCCTCTTTGAACATATCTCGTATAACAAGGAAATTGACCACTGCCAGGTTCGAATTCGACAAGGCGTCTGGCGTATCAAGTTTCTCATTCACGAGGGCCACAGCTTGACCTAGGTGGTACGTGGCTTCCCATGACACGGGCTCCTTGCCAAAAACGAAAGCGTTTAAGATAGACATCAAAGCAAGGGAGCAGTGGTAGGCTAGAGGACAGTAGTGAGAGCTTGCTCGTTTCAAACAATTCAAGAGAGAGACTGACATGTCTGATCTAAAAACATGATGCGGATCCAGTATGACTTGATACGGTCTAGTGAGAGGCAGAGCTTCGAGGGATACACGGCCATTAAAACAGATGTGAAATCTGCGTTGACTGGTGAGCTTTCTCTCTGAATAGTAAAGGGGTCATGCACTGACATGTCTTGGCCACTTCGAGACTCCAAGGCGCGACGTTCATTGACAGAAGCGGAGGTAGCGACTGGCAAAGAGGGATCGAATCAGAGCCATGCGATGGCAAGACGTTGTCTCGTCTGCCGCCATGTCCTTGCGAAGTTGACAGGCCAGTCAAGCCTCGAGCTGGTTTCACGCCTCGATGATGTGTCTTCCCGATGTTCTTCTCCCTCATCGCATGACTGCGGGCAGCCCTCTTCGTAGACCTATCCGACTTAGTGCCGTCAATGAAAATAAATCCTTTACCCATATTTCCCGCTGGCCCTCAACGTCGATGTCGAATTGATTGTCGTTGTCAAAATGGATTGAGTGGACATAAATCATCCAAAATGGGGCTGGGTTCGGAGAGTCGGAGTTAAGCCTGCCAAATGTCCATTTAGGGCCTTTCGACAGCCAAACACTTCAATTTCCTGTAGAATAATCTCGCCAAAGAGTGACAATTCGCCCCCGACACCAGCCTTTCCGCTTCAAGCCGCCGAAGCAGCCGTCGATATTGGACTCGTTGTTGTCGTTGCTGTTGCTGGTGCTGGTGTTGTTGTCGATGTTGTTTGGGACGATTTTTTCGCGCAAGCTATCACAAAAGGCCATTCGCCCCCCGGCCTCTAATTTTCTCACTAGGCGGATCAAGGCCCGCCAGTATCTCCTCCTCTCCAAGTCATTGCTCGCCGAAGCGTGGTCGTCAATTGCGGCCCCCTAGCTCTATCGTCGTAGTTGTCGTCTTCGTCATATTCGTCGTTGTCGTCGTTGTCGTTGTTTGTTATCGTCGTCGTCGTCGTCGTCGTCGTCGTCGTTGTTATCATTATTGTTATCGTTATTTTCATCGTTATTTTTTTCGTTATTGTTATCGTTATTGTTGTCGTTGTCGTGGTCGTTGTCGTTGTCGTTGGTGTTTGTTGTGATTGTTATTGTTGTCGTTGCTGTCGTTGCTGATGTTGGAGTGGAAATGCTCTAACTGGGGAGTAGGATGCCGTACTTTGGTACGCCAAAGCCCGAAGGCAACTCCTTCCACTTGACTTTTTGTTTAATCTTCCATATCATTCCAAATAGGTGGATATCGAAATAATAAGATGGACGCAAACTTGTGGAAAGGGCAAACTGCACCAGTGCCATACTTAGGTAGTAAGTGCAAACCCCCGACATGACAAGATGAAATGAAAAATCGGGCGGCTGCACCACCATGCACGCTCTCAAATATTGATTGTTTCGTGTGTTGCGGATTTCTCTCCATTTTCAGTATATTCTGGCCCTTATGACCCATGCCGTGTCTGAAGAAAATCTTTAACAACGGCGTCAAAAGCTCTGACTTCCGCTTCCAGTGACTCAATGTCAGAATCCGACCCGAGGATATCCATTAATCCATCCGCATCCGTCGAGCTTGGGATTTCTGGCAATGACGCGAGGTCCGGATCAAACCCAAGGATATCCATTAATTCATCATCATCCATCGAGTTTGGAATTTCTTCCAGTGACGCGAACTCCGGATCCGACCCGAGGATATCCATTAATACATTACGATCTGTCGAGTCTGGGATTTCTTCCAGTGACGCGAGGTCTGAATCCGATCCAAGGCTATCCATTAATCCGTCACCATCCGTCGATTTTGGAATTGCTATATGCAAATTGGGAGCATCACTTTGCTGTAATGAATTGCTCTGATCATTCCCGCCCTGTTGACAAGGGTCATTTTCCAGATTGACCTGGCTTTGGGAAAGTGTCGCCATTTCTTGAGGCAGGGAGGCATGAGCATGTGAAGAACTTTTCGTTCCTGCGTGCTTGAGAGCAGTAGTCGCTACGCCCATCGTCAAAGGAGAAGGCATGCCTCGTTTTGTTATAGGAGTGATTAGGGAAGAATGATGTATTGCGTGGGTTGAAAGAGGAAGGGATGGATGTCTTGATTATGGAACATGAAGGGTGTTTATAGAGCATTAGCACTCTTGGCTAAGAGTGACTCATTTACTAAAGATAACCTTTACATGGCTTTTTTAACCTTTCAGGTCGTCATGTGCAGGAAAAAAAAACGAATGGAAATCATAACAAAGAATAGCCGAATGGGTTCGTAAGGTTGGCCAATAGCAAGCTACCCGAGCCATTACCATAACTTAAATTTCAGACCAAAAACCTAAATCAATTGAAGCATTCCAGGCGTATTTTCTTTATTTCTTCCGCTAGAAACGTCAGTCAAAGGCCAATCGATTTAGTTGTGCGGCTTTTCTCCCAAATAACGTCAGAGCTATGGCTGACCGAAACTTGAACGACCCTAACAAAAAGTTAAGCCGGCAGAGTTTTGCTACTAGTCAATGTAATAAGTCAAATAAGACTCACCTAATACGACAGTGGGAGACGATTGTTTTCCCGGAATGGCTACAAAGGCCCTGATCCCTTCACTACCCTAGAACTGATGGTCTCATGCCAAGTCAGGGGGGAATTAGAACAAATATCTCGAGAGCAATAAGCTGAGGCTATAAGAGGATTAAAATTAACCTCTGTTTAAAATACCCAGGTGGACTTAGCTGTACGACTCAGAAAGACAGGTTCCGTAAGTTTCAACGTTAATACAAAATATGTCCAAGCGACTTCGAAGGTTGTCTAAAGCATTTGACCTTTAACACAAAATCAAGATTTTCAGGAGGAACTAGACTCTTCTATTTTAATACGTGTCTATATACAAAGGATTAGAATTATGGCGATTGTTATTGAAATTCGCCGGAACCGATGTGGATGACCGTTATTAATGCCACTCGTAATCGCTTAGTAGTCAATAGTGAATAACGGAATGATTCTCATCTTCGGGGACTTAATATCTTATAACATGGTACTTGAAATGGAAGCCAACGCTAATTAGACTCTCAGATTTGCGTAATGCGCGTTTAATCTCAACCCTCAACTTTCAAGCGGCACAAGATGCTAAGAAGAGCTGCTGATACGGTTTCCTTCCTTGGAATAGACATGGAATCTACCACAGAAATGGGATATGTGGGGGATTCAGGATGACAGACAAGTGAAGCGGAACACTCTTACTCATGAAAATTATGCATTACTTTATGTATCAAATTATACTATATACTATGACTTCGAGATAAAACGACCTCTAGCTATGGATTCTACGCCAAGATGCCGATCCATCCTCTAAACACAGTGGAAGTTATCTGCAGAGTTAATGTCTCCCGTGCCCTTATACGTGATACGCTTAGGATGCGAGCAGACACCACGCTCGATGGTCTTGGTGGTAGATGGCACATAGGAGCCTAGCACATCAGGAGCCTTGCCCTTCTCAACCCAGTCGATGATATCAGGGAGAGGGTTATTGATGAGGAAGCCGTAGTTGCCCCAGCCGGGGTAGTAGCTCGAGCCGCAGTGCCCGCCACCAGCATACATGAAGAGACGGTACCAGTCGGCGACGTTGGCGTCGGATTGCTGCTCCCGCTCCCAGAACTGGACGGTGCCGTCATGGGGGATGATGGGGTCGTTGAGGGCGTGGTACGACAGGAGCTTACCGCCAGCAGCCTTGAACGCGGTCAGGTCCGAGCCGTCTCCCCCCAGCCTGAAAGAATAAAGTTCGCGGGCGGTCGTGTGGATATGTTCGAACTCATCGTATGAGATGCTGTTGATGTCGAAGGTGGGGTCCTGGAGGAAGAGCTTGTTGATGTAGGGGCTGGCAAGCGACATGGGATAGGGGTAGGTGACATTGTTCCGTGTGTATGTGTAGGCGATGGCCTGGGACAGGGAACCAACAGGGAGACCGTACCAGATGAACTCTCCGTTCTGGGACTTGGGTCCGGCGTAGGTCTCTCGGATGACATTGGCATATCCCTCGGTGATGGTGACCTGGCCGCCGGTATCAGTGCAGTCAATGGTCTTTCCAACCTGGCTGCTTGGGTTGAACTTGCAAAGGTCTGGTCGGGAGATGAGCTTGTCAGCCACACCGTCATCCAGGTCACAAGCCTCGATGGTGGCGGTGAGATAATGATTCCAGACGCATTGAGGAGGGGCAACCGTATTCTGCATCACGACCTGTGGCCACATATCTCCTGCAACAAGGTCGGGAATGTACAGCGCGGGAGCACCGGCGACAATTCCATCGAAGTCCTCGGGATAATGCCAAGCGGCATCATAGCCCATGCGACCACCCGTGGAGCACCCGTTGTAGTAGGAGTAGTTGGGCTTCGAGCCGTAGAAGGCCTTGGTGACGGCCTTGCTGATGACGGTCAGATCGTGGAGGGCGCGGTAGGCAAAGTTCTTGAACAGGCCCTGATTGACAGTTCCGTCCGCCTTGGCGATCCAACCTCCGAGTCCGGGATCGATGGTGCCGTTTAATGAGAGACCGCCCTCGGTGGCAGCCGAGACATATCCCCCGGCAATCAACGGGCTAAACTGGGCGGAATCCATCGTCGCGAAGTTGCCACCACCCATGACAACAAGACGTCCATCCCACTGGTCCAATGGCAACCAGATGTAGTTGTAGACAAAGTCCGTGGCGCACGAGTGCGATGTTACGACGGTGACATTGCAGATGGACTTGCTTGCGCCCTGGTAGGAAACAGTGCTCTCAGCGCTCTTGACCGAGACAACCCTGAATTCCGAGAACTTCTCGGTCAGGGTGAAGCTGGCGCAATCCCCTGTGTTGCCGCGAACATGAGGTGCTGCGGCAGCTAGGCCTAGGAACGTCAGCAGGGTGAGCTTCATTGTGGGAGGATGGTTCAAAGGATTGAAGGAAGGAATGAATGTCAAGAACGACCCCTCGGTTAGTGAACCCAGGCACTCTTAGGGCGGACGGAAATACGAAAGAGGTCGTTGCCGGCTCTCAAGAAACAGCGAGATCAACGTGCTTTTGACCAGGTCGAGGGTTTGATGAGCCAGTGGCCAAGACGCCCGTCGATTTGCTGCTGAACGTTTGGAGAGCCACTAGACTCGTTGGGCAAGTCAAAGGATTTGGGCTAACTGACCTTGCATGATTGGCACCAGAAATTACTCAGGTAGCTGTTGGCTAGTGCCTCGTGAAAAGCTGGGCCAAAGTGTCCGAATCCGAAACAAGAAATGCATGCGAGCCAAGCCCAACCCCTGTTAACGTGTAGCCTGGCTGAGCCCGAAGTAGGCCAAGTACGTATGTCTACCTGTACACTGAATGGTTCACTCAATCAGGCTATGAACCAAGCATGTTGAATTAAGTTAGGAGATGAAAGAATGGTGATGGCATTGGTTTGGAATCTTTAGGAGATCAACAGGTAAGCCTAGCATTCCACTCCAGCTTTTCAGAAACCCGCATTGAGGAAACAACGTACATCTTATCAGGTAAAGGTAAAGGACCCTTTGAATCGTCTCAAGCGCATCTCTACCGCAGCTAAACCAAGTCATGTGCTGGGAAACGAGATTTGTCAGACGGTAGCCACCGCATTATTAGAAGCTACGGTGTGTGAGCACTCGATCTGGTCATTCCCCTCCGAGACAAACACAACTCGGCGGAGATTATGATCACGCTGAATTTGTCCACGGACACTAAACCTCCCGCACGGAACTGCGATCCATGGCCAATATTTGAGACCCCAAGTGGGGAGCGCCGGGCTGTGATCAGAACAAGGTTAAATCACTCGTCATTATTCTGCTTGGGGCTGTGAATTCGATAGCTTGCTATGGAGTCCTCGCCTGACGCGATTGACCAGGACAAGGAATACCAAGTGGAACTGGAATGAGCTGATATGAAACCCCCTGGAGTTCCGCCATAACTATGCACTGAAATCGCTGAAACCCTATCCGTCGCTTGTTAACAATATCGTAATCTATTCCCATGCATTGTGAAATCCCTCTAAATCTACAATTAATCTAAGTCAAATGATAACAATTCTGTACTGTCATAGGCCCCTTTCCTCGGCCTTTAGATGCTTACTCTGTTCCTCCGACCCTGTCAACGAGACTGTCCTGGACCCGTACTTGCGTCTTCCTGTTTCTTCGTCCGTGCTCGTCTTGTGGGGATAGATTTCTTCGGTGCTGTCGGTGGTGCGAGCATGAGGAAATGCCTCCCTGCTCATGGTTGCCTCGTCGGGCACCTCATCGATAATCTGGCTCATGCCCTTTGATTTCCCGTGCTTTCGTTCCACGAGGCCACTCAGCGGGATTGACCTGCTGTTTTCTTGTCCGCGATTCATGTATAGTTTCGAGGGGTTCGATCGCTCGGTGATGCTGTTGAAGACGTAGTAGAAACCGGGGATCTTCTGGACTAGAGCTTTCAAGGTCGGGATGGAGGAGCAAATGAGGAGGGCCGAAATCTCCGTCTCGCACCATATCGCTCCATCTACCACTCTCTCTGTAGTTTACGTCAGTAAATGTTCATGTCTTAAGCCTTGGATCAAGGTGGCTGGTCTTACGTGTCAAGTTAGATCCAGTCGACGTTGTCTGAATGATGCGAACGATGGAAATAATGCAGACCCTGAGGTCGAGTTAGCCATGTGCCAAACCAAATAGAAGAATAGTGAGCGGATAAAAGCTTACAAAAGACCGAGGGACATCATGAAGATGACGCCAATGCGCTTTCCCTTGGGCATCTGGAGCTTCCAAACTGTCGGGATTGGCTGAATGAAAAGAATCAGGTCGGTAGATACATTAAACGCGAACTGAAACGATCCTGTTAGTGATGAGCGGGAGAGATGAAGTAACTAAACTTGGCCAAACCCACCGTTGTCCACCACAAGACCCGGATGTCAATGCATTTCCCTTTCATACCAGGTGTCCAAGCCGAACCGACAGGAACGCACATGAAGATTGCAATCATGGTTTCCTCCAGCGCCTGGCAGAAAAGGAATCCAATCAAGCATTTGTTCAAAATTAAGAGATAAGTTTTCGGCAGAAGACGCATGTATAAGACGGCGAATGACATCTTGGCTGTGGCAATGGCCCAGCTAAAGGTGCAGGAAAAGACGACATTGAGCTAGGTTGGTACTCGTTTGTTAGCTTCTCAACCGGTAATGGGCCGCAGTGTTGGTAGTTCAACGTTTGGCCTTGATCATTTGCTTACCATCAAGAACTTTGATCTATCGGGTGTAGAAACCTCACCAATGTCGAGGCCCAGCCCATGGTGTGTTGCTGTTCTCGCGTAAGAGGTTGTGCTGTAACCTGATGAGAGATGACGAGAACCTACCCAGAATGACGGCACTCATAAACCCGACGAGACATGCCTGGAAAGTAATTGGTTAGGATATGCTTGAACTAGAAGAATGCCACATGGTTTATATACCCAGCTAAAGCAGACCAGCCCTAAGAGTTCCAAATTATTAACATTAAGATCGACGGTGACACCCCCATAACGATTGATTCAAAGCTTACCATCATCGAACCCAAAGTCCCGGCGCTGAGCCCGTAGCCAAATTCTGGGGAAAACTGCCGCCGAAGTTACCACAAGAATGGAGGCCGTGGCCGCAATAACCGTGTGCCGTCGGTCTCGAGACATCGTGATACCCTTCTTGGGCGTGAAGGGCCTCAGTGGCAGAGTTGTTGGAGGTCTGTTTGAAGGGGCGACCCAGTGCCTTGGGAGTGGGACTCCATGATTTTTAACTACGATGTGGGTGAATCAGGGATTGGCGTGTTTACACACGGCTTCCCTTCGAAGTGCAGGGATATCTTCTTGCTCTCACAACTGGGACGAGAGAGATCTTCCCAACCACGGGACGGATAACGTTAGTCTTGGTCCCTTTTAGTGCACCCCCTTACTCCTACACTTCCGCAGACCCAGTTACGGCTGCTTATATCCAGTCATATTTGCGATCTAAGAGCCCTACCGCTTAAATAGAATCAGATGGCTGCAGATCTAGCCTGTACCAAGGCGGTCCCTAGCGGTAACTCCGTTCAATACCCGCACTTTTAAAGGTTCCCAAACATAGAATACGGGTAATTATCATGATTAATAATAAGCTGTGGCGTTTTGGAGCTGAACGAGGGTCGCAGATTGTAGCCGTTCAAGGAATTGCTTCCCCCCTAGTTCTTCTGGGTTCGGTGTGGGCGACGCTGCATGAAGAATCTGCAAGCGAAAGGTTCAGGGGTGACACTCAGTCCGGCCGCTCGGGTCCGTGGCTGTATTCTCAGCCGAGTTAGGCAACTCAGAAGAACGAGGGCAAAAAGATGCAGCAGGAATACCCTCAAATCCTGGGATCCCCCTGTGAAAAAGTGACTGCTCGTAGTTGAGATGAAGAGAGAATCTAGCATATTGCGTCCCGCATTGCATTGGATATCGAACGCACAGCCAAGGAAATGGCAGTGACAAGTTAAGGCTACTCTGAGCATTACATAGTACTTGCTCCTCCCCATTGACACGAATTTATGGCTGTTTTTCTTCCGTTCCTGTTCGTTCTCTGTTTTGGGGTTTGCTAGCCGCGATTCCCTGTTGCTTATTGCTGCCAAGAAGTCTTCATCTGGTTTTGCGCTAGCAAGGTTCAAGGGGAAGGGGAACTGGTCCTAAGAGCCTGCTTAACGGAAGCTGGCGAATGAGGAGTCTTGGGTCAAGTTCCAGCTGACACCATATCTTTGTGCGTGTGGCAACTCGGGGGGAGTTTCAGTTATGGCCTTTTTAGGTGGCTTGACAGTTTGCTCCGGAGTAGGGGAGATTGCTGTGTCCTTTCACTTCGCTTGCTGGAGGTATCCCTCGTTATTACAAGACCCTCCAAGGTCTTGTACCGACAAGGTTGATCCTTTCCTATCAGGCCACGGGCATATCCTAGCCTACCAGATAGTGCCTGAATCATCGGACCCTGAAGGCTGCTTTGCGTGTGATTTCTTCCCCCAAGGAAACCTCCGACGTTGGTTTGCGCAAGGGTTGCGAGTCGATGGCAAACCACTGAAAGCTTTGGCTGTACCCATAGCCAGTCGGTCGACTCGCTGTTGCCAGGGGTCGATTGAACTAGGACGATGCACCTGAGAGAATTATTGGACCCTGCCGCCCGCTACGACGCGTGGATGCCTTCGAGTGGCTGCCGCATGTAGCGCCAGTTTTGGTTCAGTAACCGACCTCGCTTATAATGTACAAAAGCGTTTAATCTAAACTTCAAAAAGAAAAGGCATAGCATTTAGAATACCCTTGGAATTACTAAAATGCCATGATTAACTCCGGCTTGCATAATAGTGGCATTGCGGACTTGTCCTGACGAACAGAACGTGGGCCTCGGCTTTGGCTCTCGTTGGCCAGTAAGCCATTGGCTAGTTCACGACATTAATGTTGGCTGAATTACGCTTATCGCTTTCGGGCCTCGCCTTTGTAAAGGCATACATGGCGAGTCATTCGCTTTTTAGTTTGAGTACAATGGTGATGCTTTGATTTCTGTTGCGTCATCTTCTCGTGCCTTGGCGGTGCGATGAGATAAAACCATTAATGATCACATCACTCGTTAGCAGTTTGAAGATATTGACTCGTTTCCATTACTCTTGCAACAGACAGTGTTTCGGATATGGGGCGGCGAGTAACGTGCCAGGATTAATATAATGATCCTCGAAAGACGACGTTTGAAATATATATCAGGTTATCGTAATCAGGACTTCTGCACTGTCATGTACCTAGATACCTGGATGAACACATATGGGTGATGAACGGCCATTGGAAGGGGCAACACCAATTTTCATGCCTCATTCACTGCCATGCTTCGGTCTTCCTGTCGGAGCATCACAAGTATTGTTCACACACGTTGTCGAAAATGGCTCGGAACTCCTCTTTTCGCAAAAATGGTACTTCGAGTTGAAGGTAATTCTATCAAAGATTTGAGAAGCACCGCTGAGAACACCTGGGCCCAGGTTTGTATGCAGATTGCTACGGTGTAGTCCATCTGGCTAGTAACTTGCCTCAGTCCCTCGGGCAGCAAATCCTTGATATGTCTCATGCTTACAAGGCACCGCAAGGCCCATGAGTACCAATTTATGCACCTATAGTTATTTACTGTGGTTACATGTTCTCCATGATAGTGAGCAAAGGTATAGGGGACTATATCTGGCTAATCATATCCCAAAAGCTTATCTCTGGAGATCATATTCTAACTTTGAGCTCCGCCAGGGAGCTTTCTTTCTTTGAGTTTTTCATAAAACCGTTCGCCCGCCGTGAGATATGTGGTGGCGTACTTTGAAAGATCTCTCGCCATATTATCCTTCTATCTTTCGAGGCTGAGGCTAGTTCTATTGCAATGCAAGTCCAGCAATTAAGTCTACGTCCTAGATCATTACTTCTTGAGTTGTAAAAATTCACTATAGATTAGGATTTGGGATAAAACTAGGGGAAATCCATTACCACGAAGTTAGTACCACCCATAATAATAGGATGCCTATCCCACTTATCCACTGGGAGTCAGATGTAGTTGCAGACATAGTCCTTGACGCATGAGGATGTCACCACAGTGACATTTCAAATGGATTTTCTTGAGCCCTGGTATTACTATAGCCCATATATTAATAGTTAACTAATGAATCCCTGTAAAACATCTGGCAAGAGAAGAGATAATAACGCACAGCGGCATTTATAACAACTAGATATAGCTGAGGAAAAGTATTATTTGGGTATGTACCTATCTTTTCCTTGAAATTTATAGTGAAGATTTATAATCGTTACGCTCTATACCAGGAATCCTACCAACGATGTTGATAGGCTACATACACCGCCTCTTACCCCGGCATGGATGGTCTTAAGCAATGGGCGTAGTGCATTTCGTGGTTGTCCAATGGCCGCTCGGAATGCTTCCGATGCCTCATCAACAGACATCCGGCGGGATTGAACGAGTGCCGATCAATTCGCAATTTGTGGATGCCCTTCAGGATTGGAAATGTCTCATTCTTGGCACGGGGACTAAACACAATCCGATGCCGAGACCAGAACCCCGTTTACCCGGCTGTCAATATCGCGGAAAGCATAATACAGACAGCTAAAGTCCACGCGGCTGACCTTCTAACAGCCCATATACATTCTACAGGCTTTTGAGTGTAGGTCATTACATTACCTTATCGTCATTTAGAGAATCTCGAAGAGTTGCACAATGTCTTTCCGAGTCGTCATTGTGGGTGGTAGTGTGGCTGGCCTAGCCTTGGCCAACATGCTTGAAAAGTTCGATATCGACTTCGTCGTGTTGGAAGCTTATCCCGATATCGCCCCTCAAGTTGGCGCCAGTATTGGTCTGTTGCCCAACGGTCTCCGTATCCTGGACCAGCTTGGCTGTTACGATGCGTATCGGGCAAAGGCGGAGGACCAGGTCTATCAACACGCATACTTGCGAGATCCGTCCGGCAAGGCGTATGGATATCAGCACGATCTTATGGCTATGTGGGAGAAGATGCGAGTTAGGCTTTTGCCTCTGAGGCTCCTATAGTTGAGGCTGATACGAAGAAAGGCTCGGGTACCCGATGATATTCATCGACAGGCAAATGCTCATCCAGGTGCTCTACTCGAACCTAAATCATAAGGAGAGGGTTCTTACCTCCAAGCGAGTCATCTCTGTCGACATCTTGGAAGCTTCTGCTGAGGTTACAACAAAGGATGGCCAAGTCTTCAGCGGTGACATTGTCGTCGGAGCGGATGGCATTCACAGTACGGTGAGAAAGGAAATGTGGCGACACGCTCCCCCTGGCTATTTCCCCCATGACGAGTATTCTAAGGTCCCGGCTTCAACTCTTTGCATCTTTGGAATTTCTAGCCGCCCTGATGCCTATCCTGGAGCCAGTCAGCACAATACCCTATCAGAAGGTCACAGCTATTTTGTCATGGCTGCTCCAGGAAATAGAGTTTATTGGTTCTTGTTTATGGAATTGAAGGAAACGCTTTATGGGGAAAACATCCCGAGGTCTGTCAAACAGCAGGATGGCTGGAAGTTCAAAGACTAACATGATCTAGGTTCACTAAAGACGATGAAGCCGAAATTGTGAAACAGCACTTTGACGATTGCATTATTGACAACATAACCTTCAAAGACTTATATGACAGGCGTATTATAACCACTTTGGCGCCGCTTCAGACGTATGTGTTTGAGAAGTGGCACTACAAAAGACTTGTAACTATCGGAGACTCCGCTCATAAGGTAAGCCAAATCACAGTCGCATTCGGACATGAGAACTCCTGCGACAGGAAAGCTACCGGCATTCACGCTAACAAAAATATCTCTCGCAGGTCGATCCCGTCACGGGCCAGGGCGGAAATGGCGCCATTGAGTCCGGGGCACTTCTAGTGAATGCCCTTCTCCGAAAGCTAGACACGAATTTGAATTGTCTGAACGAGAAGCAGGTGGAAGACGTATTCGCAGAGATACATGCCGGTAGATTCGTATGTAGCTGTCGCCCCGGAAACTGACCGACTGCAATACCAACCACGGATAACATGACTAGAAACGGGCCCAAGATGTCGTACAACAGGGCTACTGGCTCCAGAACGCCTTCACACAACGGTCAGCGATGGGGAAGCTTATTGCACGTTATTTCATGCCAGCCCTTGGGTCATTTGGAGTTCTTTATAGAGGCGTGGAGTTTTGCTCTCCAGCGACCAGCTTGCATAGGCTTGAAACTCCTCGACGTCCTCGGGCTGTGCCATTCGAAGACGAGCTGCCCGCAAAAGCAGTGAAAGATCTACACCAGATTAGCAAGCTAGCATCCGTCGCTATCACTGTGTGCTTATGTGCTTTGGCCGCTGATCTGGTGCGCTTACCCAAGCGCCTTGATTTAGCTATTGAAGCTTTAAGCTTGATGGATATATCAAGGGCATCAATTTTACCGGTCATTACTTTTCTTGTCAAAATAGCCTCCCTCCTGGCGATGGCACTAGTTGAGTCCAACCGAATCGGCAACAAGCTCACTTCATGGGTCCTGTAAGTTTCTCTGAAATACTTGGTGATGGCGGATTTCTATATGAAACCTCCTCTTAACAGAGCACTAACTGAGAGATAAGATCGCCGTATTTACCACTGTCAACAACTTCCTTGGTCCAGGTGCCTTAGGCCCTCTAGCCGCACTTTTTGCCCACTGGTCATGCGGCCTCATCGTCGGAAGACACGTGCCAGTTGAAGCTGCAAGAATGATTCTACCGATCGTCGCAGTCGGGTATGTCCTTCCGGCTGCTATCGCCATGTCCAGGATGGATTCTACCTCAATCATGATCTGGAAGAATGCCCCCATCATCTGCTTCATGCTCGCAAGAAGTCCTTTGGCGCTTGCAAGCCCTTCGGGATCACACATACCCGATGACGAAAAGTCCAAGCTTCAGATCGAAAGGGAAAGGACTCGCAACATGTTTGCGAAAGCAGATTTGCCATATATTCGACTTGTCCACTACTCTGCTTTCCTAGTCTCCGCGGCCACTCAACTGATCAACGTCTGTCATCATGGTAGCCTCGTAAACTTGACATTAGCAAGAAACAATGTAAGACTAGAGATGCTGGGATTTTCTAGGTACGATGATCTGGCTTTTACACTCTCTTCGCTGATGCTCGCGCTCGGAGCTGCGCCGTTGAGCCTGCGCCTGCGTGGGTACATCACGACAAGTCAGTCTTTTGCATCTGCTCTTTTCATCTGTTTGGGACTTCCGATCGTTGGTCCAACGGCCACGATAGCGGGTATGGCCATTTACCGAGAGTCCATTCTTGCGGGATTTGGACAGTAGCTTAAATTTGCTCCTAAGTAACGTAGTGTTGTCCTTATGCTTACTATGCAGAAGATTGATGAATGGAAACGCTTCGAAACGGCAGGTCCATCAATCGTAGCCAGGATAAAGAGTAGCTATACCTGGTGGCTGGAACGGTTTTGATGATTCTAATACGATGATTAACCCTCAATACTGGAAAATCTATTTACTGAAAAGTTTTATGTGTAAAATATATCACTCGCAATCTTTATTCAGATGCCCTTCTGCTAACACAACCTTAAAAACATTCCGCTGAATATACCTGAGCTATCGATTGGCCGAGTAATGCTTAAGTCGACAGACGCGAACTTGTGAGCAACACGCTGTAAATAGAGAAATCCGGATATCTGGCTAATCCCAACTATTCTCTAGCCATTGAGTGTGCGAGAAAGCAAATAAGCATGTCTTGTTCTCATCTCCTAGTCGAGCGACAATGTCAAATGTATGTAGCCCCGTCTCCACAAACATCCCTATGATGATGAGCTCGGCCAATATTTCGCTCTCCCCAGGCCCAGGAAGATAGTCTACGTATGTGCCATTCGTGTGCCGTATAGACAATTGACCTATCCCCATCTCAGCGCGAAACGCTTTAAGCGGAATCACATAAGAACTCGGGTCATCGGGCTTGCCATCAGGATCAAGGCGGTCAATAGTTATATTCAGCGTTGCTTCAGTCAGCGCAGCCTCGAGATCCTTTATGGCTTTAGTTTTGGATGATGGAAGGCGCCCGGACAGGAGAAAGAAAAGGTGCCGATCTCTGGAGAAGGATCAGCTAGGGTGGCCCAAGATGCTAGAAATTAGGGTGGTTGAGCATACGTGATGACGGGAAATGGAGCGATATCGAAATCATCAGTGACGTAGATCTGCTCAGCTTTTGGGACTGGACCAAATGTGACATTATTATGGCAGGAAACTCTGTCTCCAATTGCAGTGCTGCTGGGCAGGCCAGCCTCACCCAAGTTCACTTGCTCAGTTGAAATAGGGGAAATAGCGACGACAAGCGTGGCGGAGAGAGCCGCCAAGATTGGCAGAAACAACATGGTGGGCGGGTTAAAGATAAAGCTGAGGCGAACAAGATAATGGAGACGTTGGGTTTTTATATTTGCATGAACGCCTGGTAGTGGCGCAGTCATCCATTGTGGTCCTTTGGTTTCTACATTAGTTATACTTTTGCCGTCTCTGGATTACATGCGGAAGATAGAAAAAAGATGAAATCCTGATACTTGGGAAAAGCAGAGAATGGCAGCGAGCTAAAATATCAGAATGAGTAAAAACACAGGTCTTTTCCGGTGGTTGAGGGAATGCCACATGACTCTCGGTCGGTTAGACACTGCTTCCAAAAATGACTCGTTGTGGCCTGATGAGACCTTCGGCCACTACCTTTTTGATCGCCCGGCCCGACCCCCCTCAGTAAACTTGGCGGGTGCTGAACATGACATACTTTTTGCGATAGGTCCTCACACTATTTGCGAAATATAGAGCTAGTTTTAGAGCAGTTGGCATGTCATGAAGTCTCCCGTTCCATGCAGAAGCGCTTGCTTTCTTTCAGCCTTCAAGGGAGAAGGGCTTCTGTCTAGAGCGATGAGACAGAGCAGCAAACTTAGCTTATGGCGATCCATGGTCACCAAATCAATGTTATAAAAAAGGGAAATACATATTTATGGCTAAACCATAGAATATGTAGGATATGGTTCTTTCCTTTGAGTGACACGCAATTTCTTATATCAAATCGGTTAACCATCCAACCCTACCCCCTAGTAGAGATACCGCCTAGAGAACCATTGATCCAAGCATCGACAAGCTGATTTCTACTTGGCTCCAGCTATTTTTGTTCGGAATCTTCCATCTGGGGGCGGGATGGTTCCAAGAGTTATTCATTCGTTCTTAGTTACATGGTGATCAGGGGTTTAATAAAGGGAACAACTAGAGCATCACAGCTGCCGACCTCAGGGCGCACAAAACAGATTCGGATTACAGTTTGTGCGTTCCATTTCTTTATATTAATCGAGACCCGGGTCTGTAACCCGGCCATTTGACCGAGAGTAGAGTTGGACTGGTCCAATACACTGCATCAGCAACGATGTCTTTTCATTCGTAAACAGATGGGGAACTTACGTTTTGTAGATCCTAAACCATATAACTCGTGCCTATTCCAATCATACCCAGCAACTATCAAGTCAGCACATGGTGTCGGGTTGATGCTGTCCTACAACGTTGACAGCAACTTACGAGGATGCTCCAAGTCGGGCTCCGCAACGTGCAGCCAGTAACCGTTTCTTGCTACTTGTTGCGAATGATACTCATGGTCCACAGTTCCCGGAATAGAATTTGACATCAGGCAAGGTAACTCCCTCCAACAAGCCATTCCTCCAATATTTGGCTCGTGCATTCGGGTCTTTTCTTTTCCCTGGACTTCAAGTAGCTTAAGGTCAAAATAACTGTAGAGCCGCCAATCCGCCCAGGATATGATAATTTCCGCAGTCGGCGGGGCGATTCGAGATAGCAAACAATCCAGTTTCGGAAGAAAATATTCATAGATTCTTTCGGTTTCCTCCTGTCTCTGCTGGAAATTATACCCAAGCCCTAACTCGATGCCAAACAATTTATTTGACCTAATGAGCCGTTTGAATGCGATTCGAAGATGGCGCAGAGCAGGAAATGTCACGGATGGATACTCTATGCTGGAGCGATAACTAGGCACGGTGGCAGCATGTCCGGAAAACGCTTCCTCAACTGTAAATTCTTCTAGTTTCCAAACGAGCTCAAGCGATGTGATCATTGAAAGAACATTCAATGTTAGGAAGTTGTTGATGTCTTGGATTAGAACTGAAGACGAGATGTGGATTGTGTTGGTGCGATACAAGACATCCATGCCTTCCCAGTATCTACAATCAACGGTTTCAGTTCCATAGGTTTGACAGGTGAGAATGCGGGAGCTTACGCTTGTCGGCAAGTTAACAGCCAGCCAGTGGCGCCGATGAAACATTTGTCTGGCCACGTCCCTGGATATTTGGCACAAAAGCCTGCGGCTTGAAGACATTTGTCCAGCTGGGGCTCTCTCATTGGTGGAGCAAGAGCGCTTCCTCTCCTCCCGTGGGAGAGTTGATGATCAGGGTGGTGTCTATGGCAGACGCAACTATACCACCTCCACCTTTTAGGCCCGCGTCTATCGAGGACATCTCCTAAGTATCCGGGGCCGCCCTCGAGAGTAATAGAAATATTTGCGTGCATATGATGACGATGTCGTTTTCGTTTGGTCTTCAAGTCCTTTGCGTTAGATGTAAGCACCTTGAAAGGATGGCGGAAAGCAAGATCCAAATGGACTGTCTGATCACCAAAGGCTTCGCGGAGAATCTGCTCGCGAACGTCTGGATCTAACAAAAAGAATGGGCCGTTGGGTCTGCTCCACTGGCAGACGAGAATTTTATTCAGTTTGGGTGAGGTCGTGGGCAAATCTTCTCGGTCTATTGCCTCTTTCTCCTCTTTCCAGCGCTGCTTGTCAGTCTTTTTGGCTAAGCCTCTCCCAATTCTTTTTATAGCATGGTAGCAAGACCATGTATCGAGGTGAGATAACAACCAATTCATTGTCACCCGTTGAGTAGATGTAAACCATCATCCGTCATCTGCATTGGCCCATGTGTGGAGGCGATGGCGGGAATGAGGCCACGTCCACCACGAGGTCACGTGTCACTTTCCATGTTACCTTGACTTGTCGAAGGATCGTCTCGATTCTTAAACCTCGCCCCCTGGGTTGCGAATCGTAATCTTAGCTCAAAGAGGGGACCCGGTCCCCTTTCTGTCTTTTTCTTTCGGAGAATTAAACGCCAATATTCCGTGTAGACATCTAATTTTATCACGGTCACCCAATGTATCTCAATACATTAGACGCACTATATAAACCAGAATATTTTGTTATATAAGCGGTGGAAAGCTTTGCTTCATTAAAATCATGATAAAAAGAGGGTGGAAATATGCATCTATGAAGCGGACATGTCTCCGAACGAATGGGGCCCCAAAGGCTGAGATGTACGGATCGAGTAATGAAACTAATTTGTTTTGGTTGGGTCGAGGGACATTTTTCAAGTGACGAAGCACTCCTACAGAGGAGGCTGCTGATCTGGAAACGTCAAAATTCGAGTGAAGTTCAGCATTCATCATGCAAGGGGGCATCGCCCTCAGTTGTACCATGCAGCTCTCTTCCGTGCCTCTGCCGCTCTGCCCAAGCCTAACGGGGCTCCTAATGGGTGAACAATCAGTTGCAAAAGTCGCATGTAATCTGCATATACCAGCTTCTTTACTAGAGAAGATCAAATGTCGGTTTATCATTTGTAGGCGAATCTCCTCAAACTGCTTGGTCAATTGGGGAATATCCACCAGAGTCCGCCAAAGTTGAGCATATAGGTGGCGATGGCGAACTCAACACCGATCAGTTGACGGAGACTCTCGAGGGCAGTTAGATTAGAGTTGTAGCTGATCGAATGCACGTTTCTGAGAGAGAATGAATCCCAGTTGTCGCAAGTGTAAACATATAGCGACTAGTCGTAATCTCACACGGCTAGAATGAAATCCTCAAACTTTCAAGCGATGCCTATGCATGAAAAAAAACCCGGCGATCACTTGTGGTTGATTGTCGCGTAATCGAGCTTCTTGAATGGAGAGTCTCTATTATCTGAGAGGGAGAGGATATCGGTTAATTGGACCTGACCAACTTTGAACCCGGGCAAAGACGACTGTCATCTTGTGGCTAGGTAGCTTTTAATTCGCGTTCAATTTAACAAGGGGTCAAGAAGAATTAGAAGATGCCGTAAGGGATCAAAAGGTCAAGACAGGGGATCTTAGCTTCAGTGAGAAGACGGCATTTCTGGGGCATGTGTGAGCTTTGTCCGGGGCTGGGAGCGGGGTATGGGCTGAAAGTCGAAACTACATGTAAGTACGGTGAGACCATGTCTCGAGATTCTGATTCACTCTTCTTCAGAGAAAGCCAACTCTGATCTCCTTCTTCTACTCACAATAGTTCGAATAGGTAATGGCCAGTTTGCAGATACGCAAGCATCGAACACCACAAATGTGACTGAGAATGGGGTAGTTCGCTTATCCCTCGTCAGCAGCTGCGTAATATACAGTGCGCTATATCTGCCTATGAACTGTAGGGACTAACTTAATCCCCGCCCGTCTCACCCCACTTGAACCCTTTTCTGCCGGAGCCATCTTGCTTCTTTCTCAATTTATCTCCTACCAGCAAATCTGTGTTGGATGATCATCAATACAGCACCACCTCACCTCATTCAATTGCAGCAGTAGAGGGCCTTTATCAGAGATGGACGCCTCACTAATAAGTTTACCACCTGAGTTGCAGACTCGTATCCTATCTCATCTCATTGCAGACGGTGGCATTCAATCCGTCCATCCTGTTCTCTATACATGCAAGCAGCTTCACTCTGTCGCCCTCCCACTCTCTGTACAAGTCTTCAGATTGAAACACAAATCATCAGACAGCACTCTTCTTGATCGAACCCGGGCCTTGCAGCTTCTCCGCTACCTCACCATCGTCAAGCCTGAGCTAGCCAAGCATGTCAGAACACTCATCATACCCGAGTGGCTGTGGCCTCAGTTCGAAAGTCCTCTCGGGAAGTCCGGCCCTACAATTGACGAGATGGAAGTCTACAAGGCCTTGATTGCGAAGACAATGAGCCTTGACCCTGGTGGCGGTGAAGAGCCCGATGCAGACCAAGCGCAATGGATTGCGGAGCTCGAGAAGGGGCATTCACAAGCCATATATGCCATGCTGGTTATAGTTTGCACTGGACTGAAAGATTTTTGCTTCGGCGCAAGCTCAGACCGGCCATATTTCCACCGTATCCTCGAGCTGGCAGCGCGACAGCCATCGACTTCAGTCTTTCGTCAAGGCCAGCGAATTTCCAGCCCGCTTTCTAGCGTGACCGAGATCTATCACGAGGCACGAAGCGGCCAAGTTGAGTGGGATTTTCAGCCGCAATGGATACTTCGGCTGCCCAGCCTGCGTTCATATGAATGTGTCATGGTCAGCATCGAGAATAAGGTCGAGGAAGCCATTGCCGATGTTCCACCAGGGTCCTGCTCAATAGAGCATATTTACCTTCGCAAATCCCGTGCCTCTGCAACGGCAATCGCCCCATTCCTGGCTATATGCAAGTCGCTTCGATCATTTGAATATATCAGGCAGGTGGACGGCGTGGTTTTTGATGAGATGATGCCTCTTGATCTTATGGTTGCCCTGCGGCCACATGCCAAAACTCTCGAACATCTCCACGTCAACTTCGATGATGATCGGGACAAGAGAGGGTGGGGCGTGCAAAAAGATAAACTCTGCATGGGATTTGAGCTCCGTACCTTGACTGCATTAAAGACATTGACTATCGGATACCAACCTCTGACCGGCATGCTGGACAGCCAGCCCTACCCAGCATACGGCGAAGATAACACTGAAGAGGTCCCCCTGGAAGCCGAGGGTTCGCCGAGATTGGTGGAATGCCTACCGGAAAATCTAGAGCGGCTGGAGATTCTTTCTTGCGGTGAGAAAATCATCGGACAGGTGGACGAGTTGCTGCGAGTAATCTCGTTAGGAACTTCGTTCAAGCGCCTTACTTGCATCCGCCTCCTCTTTAACAATGAGACAATCGACTTGAGTGCAGTCGATTATAGCAAAACCTCACCTCTTGTGAAGATTGAGGTTATTTCTCAGACTGCCAAGAACCGAGCATTCGATATGAGCCCGGGCTGTGTGCGTAGAGGCCAGAGCGTCAACGCCATATGCTCACGACTCCAAGCACCCCATCTCGGGCTGCGTCAAGAGTGGCTGGATAATCGATGTTCAGACCAAGCATGGGTATCAGCCGATGGCGGCATCGTTGTTACGGAACCAGATACCGGTATCTTGGTCACATTGGCGTCATAGAGGGGGATAAGGACCAATGATTAGTTAGCGCATCCGAAGGCTCTAGGTTTCTTCTACGTTCATAATACACTGTTATTTACGTTGCAACTAGTGGAGCATTTATCCTAATCTTTCTACAGAATGATCTGCTGACACGCCGATACTTCCAACTCTTGACACTAAATCATGGAGGAGTGTCCTCCGTCTACCGCAAGTCCATGGCCAGTGATGTAACGGGCGAGGGGGCTGCAGAGGAAGATGACAGCGTCAGCAATCTCCTCTGGGGTTGCAAGCCTTTTCATGGGGTTGGAATTGGTCAGGGAGGCTCCTAATTCCGCCGTAGCATCAGGGTGAGACATGAACCCATCGGAAATTGTATATCCCGCCAGGATAGAGTTAACACGGATTCCCTCAGCTCCATGATCGACAGCTATCAACGGTTCGTTAGTATCTTTTCTATACCATCAGAGGGAGAGGAAATTGTATGGGGAAAAAAGAAAGAGAAAAACAAGCAGCATCAAGACATACCTGCTGATTTGGTCATTCCAAGCCGGCTCCAAGTGGTGGGAACGTAAGATCCGCTCATCGGCATAGCACCAAGCGCGGTAGCGGATGAGACGTTGACGATGCAGCCACGCTCAGCAGACGGGGTTGTGCTTGTCAATCCCTTTACATCCTTGAGAGGTTGATTAAGCATGGCCTTGATCTCCTCGCGAGTGCAGAGAAAGCTGCCGCGTGCATTTGTGTTGCTCATTTTGTCCAACTCTTCAGTCGAGATGGCCGCAAAGGGAATAAACTTCTGTGCAATATACTAAAGAAATAACTCGGGTATTAGAAGAGCCGGAAGTTTGCTAAGATATACCAGAGCAGGCATGGGAAACCAAACCCAACGAGTTGGACGAGACGTACCCCTGCGTTATTGACGGCATAGTCAATCTTGCCAAACTTCTCAACAGCCTTCTTTATGACATTGACGATGTCATTCTCCTGAGAAATATCGCCAACGACAATAAGAGTCTCGAAACTGGAATTGGTCGCGAGCTCCTTCGCCTTAGCAGCTGTGTCCTCAAGCTTTTTTTCGTCGCGGGCAGAAAGGACAAGGCCTTTGACACCAGCGGCAGCAAAACCAAGTGCGGTGGCGCGCCCGATACCCTGGCCTGAATTTGTTGTGTTAGCATAGATGTTTCTCCTATTCAGGATTTTTGGTAGTCCTACTTGCGCCAGTAACGAGAGCGACACCAGGCAGTTGGAAGATTGAGGTGGACATGTTGAATCTGAGTTTTCTTTCAGATTTTATAAGATATAAGAATAGATAGGATGCGTTGGAATCTTGCTTGATAAGATATAAAACAAAAATTACTGGAAACGCTTACCATTTTATAGATTTATTCTCACAGCTCACATCAGAGCTTGACGATGATCCACGCTTAGGTACATCTCTACTAAGGTGAGACGCCCCACTAAACGCCGACAGTCTCCACTTACAGCCGCCTCGCTGAAATATCTATCCGGATAACTTGCATGAAATGATTGAGGCATGGCTGAAAGTTGTCCCATTCCTTGATAAGCTGATGATATTGGCATTATTATTTTATTTGGTTGATATATAGCACAAATTTAAATCCTGTTCGGTCGCCCAGGAGCGGATAGTGGGTAGTTGCCCCTTGAAAATGCTCTTCCAATGTGCCCCGTGTGGCGATGCCTAGATATCTGGCGCAAAGCTGGCACAAAGCGACGATGATGTGCCGTATTCCATACACCAAGTGTAAAGATCTCTAATGAGCTCACCATATTTTCCATTATCCCACCCTCCGCGAAGAGTAATCATCGATTTAATACCGTCCATATGAGCGGTCCACTCACAGTGGTTGTCAAGGTGCTACAGCGTCGTATGAATTAGCATCAAGTCGCCTTAATCTCGCCAGTACGCTGGAAGCAGTGAATACCTTGTTGTAGCTCAAAGTCATGAATAGAACGGCAAGGATATCAGCTTCAGATATAGCTGCACAACCCTCTACGGCTTGCCGGATGTTTTCTATGGCAGCAACCTTGTATTGGAGACAAGAGCCAGGGGGGAGCTTCCCTCTTGTGGATCCAAGCTGGGCCGCATACATGCGTGCGCCGAGATATATGAGAGAGAACTTCACGGAGTCGTTTTCCAGGAGTTCAGAATATAAGAATGAGGGCTCAATAGCTCGCGGGCGGGTTGTGCAGTATTGCGACCGTAAATTGAACAAAATAGGAACTGGCGGATGTCAGCATAGAACCCAAGACGGCAGTTGAAATGTGATCATATCTAGGTTAAAATATACATGATTCTAGCAGATAGTTCACACTGCTGGCGGGACACGGGATTATGAGCTCAACATCTACGTGATGTATCACAAGGTCAGACGACCACAACATCCATGGGTCCTATCGTCCTTGGGTAAGCCAAAAATCACGATATATAGGTGGGATACAGGATTTTCAAGATCACCCACTCTATACTTCTGCGCAGGACCACGGCTCGTAGCCTCATCATCTTTGTCAGCCGTGGCTGTCAAAAGTGGCATTTCATGGTGAAGACCCGGTAAGGAGACACTATCCATCATTATGAGGGGCAAGTTTTAATATGGCTATGACCCGAATAAACTAACCTCTTTTCTCTTCTCAAGAGATGTTCCTCTTTGTGGTGGGAGTAAATACACTCTGCACCTTGTCGCGAGCAATTATTGCAAGGCAGCATGCGGTTGCACTATCATGTCCCCGTTAGTGTTTGCAACTTCTAAATTGAGATCAAACAAACCTTCTTCTTTCGGCCACGACATCTGGTACAAGATAGCACTGCGCGGTGCCGTTGAAAGACCGGATCGGTTACCATAATGCCCAACCTTAGAGATGTCCAAACAAAGGAACGACTGTGGGTCTGGGATGCCTTAAATCCGAGCGTTGGAGTCTGGACATTTGTCAGCACGCCATAAAGGCGAGAAAGGAGTACTCGCGGGTTCAATTCGGCTAAATCTCTACCAAAGCTGGTCTAAGAGTAGAAATTAATGATTTATGCCAGGTAAAATGATGGCTTCGGAATCGCAATATTCTAAGACCAGGAGCTTTTTTTCTTTTGCTGGATGGGTTTCTCGGATGAAAAGGGGAAGAGTTCAGTCTAGCGTTACGTCCATATCTGGGGTGTTCATTGTCTAGGTTACCATGCTTCTGATCATCTGAGGTCAGGCTTATAACTACCTAACTAGAGCGAAGTTCTTAGGTCATCAGCTTCAGACAAGACCAGAAGATCCAGGCGTTCAAGCTAATTAGGCGCAAAACAGTGTAAAGTTTCCTTCGTTTTTTTTTTTAACCGAATATAATTGTTTTCTATCGTAGTCGAGCCTACGAGAGGTGGCTAGGTACAGGGTAGCTATTCGCAGCAGGTTAGCCAAGAACCAAGTAAAGAGTCCTGGGGTTTTTGTCAAGCTTTCGAAATGCTGAGAGATGCTACCGTATAGCTGTAGACGCGGGCTCAAAGATATCGAATAGATTAGTTAGAGTGACTGGCATGAAATATTTGATCATTTCAGATGGGAAGGGCCTTTCCTTGATCGTATACTTTCCTAGATGCGCAATAGAAGTATGAGAACGGCTAGCATAGTGCCAACAACTTCTACAAACATCATGTTCCCGCCAGACGGCGAATCCCATGTACACAGGGTGCTTTTGGGCACCAGATACGTTTGCTTAATGCTAGTGGAATGAAAGGAATGCTTAAGTGAGTGGTATATGATCCTGTGATAATACTATCAACTACGTTCTTTACCATTCATTTCTTCTCAGCAAGATTTCTCCTCCCTCCATTGTTCGCCCAGCCTGTGGGACTTTCAGGATACCGTTCTCCACCAAGTCTTTGGCCAGCTGAGGCAAGATCCCGTCGCAGCCCTTTGCCACCAGGACATTCACTGTCACGGGTAGCAGCTCCTCCTTTCCAGTGATGGAGCTGTTTGTGGCCGCCTCGCCGAGAGGGAACACGCTATCGGGTACCTCGCTGAAGACGCTTATTCGACTCGTGCTGAACCCCGTGGCCGGTCCAGGCTCCTCAAAATACTCATTTCGGGGTGTGGGAGTGCCATCCATACCCAGATAGAGGAGAATAGATTCCGAACACTGGGCCTCGTCACCAGAACGGGGCAGCACTTCTTTGTTGAACCAGTCCATGAAAGCCGTCTTATTTTGCAGGGCAGCCTCGTAAGACCCTTCTGGCAGAGCCTCAGCCCAGGCCCATCGGATCAGTGGGACAGGATTCACGAAAGGTCGCCGACCGTCATAGGCGGCTGCGTAGTCAGCGTAAAAAGGATCACGGACCAACTTGATCTGCTCAAGACCTATCAATGCGGCGTAGGTATTACGAAGCATGACCTTCAATGAATCGCCTCCAGGGCCTGAGGAGTTCCATGCAGACTCCAAATCGAAGGTAGTTGGGCCATCAGCGCCAACAAACGAAGCCAAATCGCTGGCAAAGTTGGTCATGAGGGGATGGGCGCCATCGAATCCGTAGGTATACACCTTGCTGGGGTACTTGATTGTTGAGGAGGATTCATACGAGGTGTAGTTCTTTCCATAGAGGACTTTGTTGGCAACATCCCAAAGCGCAGGGTCTCGGACGATGAATCCAGCAACGTCAAGAGTCGGGCTCAGAGGCATTGCACCGTCAAGCGTAACCAGTCCCTTAGAGGGTCTGTTTCCGAACACACCTTGCGCCCCAGCTGGCCCACGAATGGAGCCACCTGTATCAGTACCGATGGAAATATCAAGCCACTCATAGGCTCCAATAGAGGCGCCGCCACCAGAGGATGAGGAGTAGGGATCATTATAGCCGTCTCCACGAGGATTGAATGGGGAATGATAATCGACCCAATCGCCCGTCGGTTGCTCACCATTAGCAAACTGCGACATCTTGTTATAACCAACGATGACAGCACCCGCGTCGACTAGGCTCTGGATACAAGGCGCGGTTTTGGTTGCTGCTGGGTATAAACGCCACCAAGCCCGATTTCCGTTTGATTTGCGCATGCCAGCAAGGTCATAGAGCTCCTTGACGCCAAGGCGAATGCCGGCAAGCGGCTTCTCTGGAGAGGGTGTGAAGTATAGGCGCGAGGGCACGCCAATGGTGACGGCGTCAGAGGCAGGAACCTGCGCCGAAAGTTGCTGAAATGAGTCGCCATTCGGACTTTGAAGAATGCCAGCGCTAAAAGCTCCAACAATATCTCTGTAGAGACGGAAAGCTTGGTGTAGCTCTCCAGATGCAACATTGAGAAAGTAGGGCCCCGACGGAATAGCTGACTCTTTGGCAAGGGGGGCGACTAGTGAGGCCTCGATCCCAGCATACAGGGTTTGTTTGGAGGCAACATTGTCTTGATAGTTAGCGATAAAGACCGCAGAGAGGAATTCCGAATTCCAAACATCATCTTTAGTCGACCAATTCCCAAACAATTCTCCCAGAGCCGACTGTGTGATGCTATCGGCTACCACAGTGACAGGCGCAAAGCCAAAGGCTTGGGGAAGTGATGTGGAGTTTAGGGAGCCGTCAAAAGCCTTTCCTTGAGAAAATGGCGACGCATAGTAATAGCTGTCATTGATCTTGAATGACGCGCCTGTGCTGACAAGCTGCGAGGCCGCTGAGCTGACGAGGCCCAGGATCGCAAGTCCCTTCATTGGCGGCGGATGGGGTTGTAGGATCTAGTTTAAGACGACAATCTCAACTGTGCTGACAACAAAAGTTTACACCAAAGATCTTTGAAAACTTTCGATGATTCCATGATTGCCGATCGAGTGTCATATAAAGCACTTCATACATGAGGATCCTCCCGTGGAGATCTAAAGAGCAGCGAGGCACCGGCCAAGGGTCCCTTGCCTGAAACGAAAGAAGGATTGTGAAGGCTGGTAGGAACGGCCCGGCCTTATTGGATGGGCTACGAAGGCCGACCCTTGGCAATTCCACTCCATAAATCATATCTCCGCCATTCTTTCTCTAGTTTTGTGTCAATAGAGTATGGAAGAAACGGTGTAGCTTGTAGGCACGCGGGTCACGGCAAATTCTCGTTACGACCATGCGTATTGGCTACCGCTTCATTTTAGGAAGGTAAGTCATCTGCAGACCCGCCAGCGAACCATTAAACCGGGCACGAAGGTAAGGGATGTAAAGTTGTTCCCTGATGATCTGGCCTATAATGAGAATGATAACCGGCGACCGAAGAGGATGATTAGATTAACAAGGACCACGTGGAAAATCCAAACCGCTTCGTCCTGTACAAGCGCCACTGGCTCCGAGAGGAAACATAAGACTGTCAAACAAGTCGATGCCTGGATGTTGATTTCAATGGTGGTAGAACGGACACGTGATGAACTACGAATTATCAGTGTCACTAAGAATAATTATTAATTCCAGAGGAACTTTTCATAATGATCGTCCTCTCCAAGAATATTTCAGGCAGCCTTAGAAGTTAGAGGAGTTGCAGCGGGAATATCTGGATCAACATGAACTAGAGCCTTGACGACGATGCAAGCGGAGAAGAACAAGTAAGGCAGCCGGTGGCACCGACACGAAGAGATCAAATAAGGTAGAAGGAATCAGGGCTTAATAGAAGATAGCTTCAATAGTGATACTTCTTATCCCCCAAAAACACAATGAAAGGACGATGCAAGCAACATACCCCCCCGGGCTTGAAGAATCCTCGAAGCTGCCATCGGAGTCTCAATTGACAACACAGTGAGGCAGGGCGTCGCATACGAGGAAAAGGAATCTGGGCGTGTTGTGTTGATTTGTTTGTTTGCGCCAACGCGTCTTTTTGAACGCTCTCAGCTATCCCTCACCCGCCACTCACTTCTCTTGCCTCTCTCACTTCTGCCCCATTACCTTTGGTCACCTAGTCAAGACCAATCCTCTTAATCTTGCAAAAAAAACAACATTACATGGTCATACGATCTCTGCAAGGCCTCAAGCTCCCGACTCACTTGCACCTTCGTTCGTCCCAGCCTGGGCAGAAGCCGACTCTGCCCAAGACCTTGACCATGGAAAGCGAAGATGATCCCGTCCCGACAGGCCACAAACGATTGCCCGATTCCTGCGTGGATGGCGAACGAGCATGCGAAAACTGCCACGAACCCGGAGCCTCAATGGTCTGCGCGAATTGCAAGGTGACGGATATCGGCAACATCTGCACCCGATACTGCTCTCGAAGCTGCCAGCAACAAGGCTGGGAAAGACACAAGAAGACCTGCCACGACCGCCGTCGGCTCATACGCGCCGCTAGAGTCTTCGTCTCAATTTGGGACCATTTCCAAGCACTCACCTACGACCGAAACTACAACTTCGTTCGCTCAGATGAGAATGGCAGAGTCATTCATATAGCCTGCCCGGACCTTCCCAGCGCTCTTGATTGTGCGGGATGGACTGGAGAGACCATATTTCGCCCTTTCCCAGGGTCTGTGGTTCCAGCTGATGTTGACAATGATGTCAAGCGAGCCATCCTCCACAGACACACTTGCTCCGACATTGTTGATGTAGGCCGCCCTCTCGTCGATGTCATCTTGAAACGTAGGCCCATCTTGTCCCAGAATCTTTGGATTTTTTGACCGAGCTAATAATGATGCAGCACTTTGTGCTCGAATTCTCACAGCGAACGTGGAGCCGAAAAACATTGCCATGACTACGGTTTCTAAACATACAGGGCTTATGTCTGACAGTCATATCGTCCTTTATCTTGAGCTCGCAAGCGGCGAGCGATTTGCCCTCGATCTTTCTGGCCGCCAATACGGGTGGCAAAAAAGTATTTACACGTGGGATTGTTTCATTCGCCATCGTGCACAGCTCGTCTCCTCTGCAAGCCTTGATGCGGCCAATCGATCCTTGGCACAGTCCATGGAAGCGTCGCGGCTTGCGCCAACCGATATTGGAAGAGCTTCACGCGACCTTCGCTGTGAGATTGCTCAACAGGTAGCCGAGTCCATAAATGCATCTTTCAGGACGAGGCAGACCAGTGTCCGAAGCTTCATGTCTCAGTTGGATGATTCGTTTTCGGGCCAAGTTGCAGATCTCATCTCTCACGCGACCGTGAAGATTCAAGAGAGGATTCACGATATGACAGTCAATCGAGGCCTTGGAAGATGGTACATAGACATGGACATTTCTGGGTCTGTCAAAAACAGTGTCCTACGAGATGAGGAGCTCGCGCACAGGATGAAGAGAGTCTTTTTGACCAAGGATGACATCAATTCCATTCGACTCAAATACGGGGATGAGCCACACGAGATCGCTGAGCAGAAACGGGCGGCTGACCTGGCTCGACTTTGGAACGAACGTGTCAGGGAATGTGACTCCCTGTTTTAGCTTAGATTGAGGCTGTCATAAATGAAGGCTGTTTATACACTTAGCAGCTGCGGAGAAATATGAGTCCATGCAAAATACATGATTCCTCCAGCCTAATGCGTCAGCTCGCCAGATATCACTGTGCTCGTACATCTAAAGCATGCATATAACGAGCTGTTAGCACGATGCCGATCAAGAGAAGGCCACTGCATACTACAAGCCGGTTTTCGCGGCTTGCGTCCGCTTCAGTTATGATTAGCGAAGGAGTACATCGGCTGGGCCAAATCGTCCTATACTTACTGTCTTCAACCTTGGAGAGGACAAATATGACGAAGGTATTCAGTGGAACTCTCATAGCCCCATAGATCTTTGCCCGGTGTTCCTCTGGAACCAAAATACCTTTAACGCAGGCCACTGCTGGGAAGTATATCCCAAGGGCAAGCTCAAATAGACACAGTGCCCAAAATCGGAAAATCGCCCGTTGAAACATGACAGCGAGCAAGAGACCGGATGCGGCGAATGACAAGGCTATTTGGATCGCATGTGAAGAGGCTTGGAGCGAATGGTTGCCGTTTCTCGTCGCGATTCTGAAGATGTACGAGCCAAGGGTCATCGAAGACATAAATGATGCGAAAATAATCCCAAACGGTGGGCTGTCTGAGTTATTCGAGATTCTATCGGCTGAGATGAGAATTCCCGCCCAGGAGAACACCATGATGTACATTGACCCTTCGAGAAATGTTGTCACATAGGTCACAGTAAAGATTCTTGGCCCTTCCATGATATGTTAGCGTTTATCTTCTCCAGAGTGAGACAGAGAAGTACATAGTCGGGACAATATTCCATCGGAGTTTACACGTGAACCAAGTTTCCTTGTACCATAATTCTCAACCTTGAATGTTTGGGGTTAGCATAAAGATCAATATCGTAGTGGTGGATGAGTGCATACCCATGAGGTTGAGATCAAATATACAGCCGGCACAAGACAGATAATACTGGCTATAAAGGGCGCCTTCTCAGAAGAAGTCACTTTCACGAGAAGTTGAGACACCAGTCCACAAGCGATGGCGATGAAGCCATTGAGGACCGACATGGTCCCAAAAATGGAGTTCAATATCCCATCATCGTCCCCAAACCCGAGCCTATTGCATTCGGCAATCATCCAAGCCTCAAAGGCCGTGAATAGAATGGTTGTGCCAAGACCGCTCAAAACCCTCCCAATGAAGAGTTCCCTTAAATTTGGAGACAATATCAGCAGACAAGATACTGCATATAAGAAGCAATAGGACAAACAGGCTCGCTTTCGGCCGAATCTGTCGGCAAAGGTGCCGGCGAAGAATGCCCCAATTCCTGCACTTAGAAAACCCGTGATAAAAAGGGATGCGATCCTCGTCTCGGTGACCTTGTGGGTGTTTTTATAAAGGCTGTATGTGAAAGATCCCTATGTAAGATCAGATACCCGGTCAAATTGATAGGACACTATTGTGATATATACCTGCAACCAATCCGAGGCAATGGCGAGAGAGTAAATCTGTAGAAATCTGGCACGGAAAGTGACGAGTTCATCAAAACTACTCAATTTTTCGCCTTCAGCTTCTGTAATAACCAACAGCGGAGCGCTGCTACATTTTTTCTGGCGAAGAAATACGACAGCTAGAATAATTAAAAGAGCCACCAGGGTCGGTGTGTAAGCATCCATGGCGAGGGCGAGAGAGAAAGGTTGCTCGTCGATTGCTGTGAAGGAATGGGTAGTTTGGTTATGATAAGTCAGGGGACCAAATATTCATTCACATAATCTGTGAGAACATAGAGGGAGATTATAGAGATGTCCTTCTACTTATTGCGGTGGCATCAATAGCCACAGCGAGCATTTTTACACATCAATCCTATTGAGCCACAGCCACCTCCTCTAGACTGGGCAAAGTAAAAGCCAACTAGTGCCAATTTGGCCCCTACTCTACAGTCAATAAAACCGAAGGGAGAGAAAGGAGATCTTTTGCCAGCCAGCTACAGGCTGAAGTGGCGGCGGGACAATAGACCCCCTTGCTTGGGCTTGCCAAGGTTGGGTATTAGACCAAGCCTGTATAAGGAGGCCACACTCATATACATCTATGAGATGCGCCTTCATTGTCTCATGGATTTTTTTGTATGATTTCATCCAGTTTTTATATATTCATGCAGTGTCTATTTTCATCTCTACTCAGAATGCCGTATATGACTGCACCAAGCAGGATAGTCGCACTGACGACGATTTTCGCTACGGTCTTGCTTCTCATTAAGCTCGCCTCCAATTCATTCTTCCTACCGACGACCTGCTTGACGAATTCTCTCGGGTCTCTCGGGGCGGGTCAGCCGTACCATCACGGAGCCGATTCCCGGATGACTCGTCCAAATATTCACATCTCCTTGCACGATAGGTTAGCACATGCTGAGAGGCTATGGCACCAATCAACTCAAGACCGTCAGATAATGTTGGCAGAGGTGGGTGTGAACAAACGGTTCCCAGATGGATACATCTATCCCTACAATATCTGGGATTTCGCCAGGCCGAGCTTCTTCTGCCCGCACGACCTGGAGAGAGTGGGCACTCTCGGCGACGGTGGGAAGGTCGTCTGCGGGATGTCCCAATACGAAAATATATCACCTGGCCCCTCGTCTGCGAGTAATAACGCTCCCGAACTTATCGTATATTCCTTTGGTGTCAGTGATGACTCGTCTTTCGAGGCTACACTACTCGAGCGTACCAATGCCAAAATCTGGGGCTATGATTTCAGCGTGGAGTCGTGGTCAGAAGAAATTTCCGAGGATCAGTATGATCGAGCTTATTTCATGAAAGCCGGTATTGGCAGGTCGGATGAGAATGCTAACCCACCAATGTACACGGTTCAAGACGTCATGAAGATGAATGGCCACTCTTACGTCGACATTATTAAGATGGATATTGAGGGGGCGGAGTTTGACGCGCTTACATCTCTGATTCATTTTATCCAGAGCGAGGATAAAGATGGAAATATGCCATTTGGGCAACTTCTTCTGGAGATTCATTTCATGAGGGACCCTCAAGGGTTTAGCATTCCCAAAACCCTCCGATCTTGGGTGGAATGGTGGGAGTCACTTGAGCAAATGGGTCTTCGACCAGTGAATAATGAAGGAAATTGGATTGGAGACGCACAGTTTGGAAGGCCAAGATTTATGGAGGTAAGATTTCTTTTCTCTTGGATATGGCATTTGAAGTGATCGTGCTAATACACAATTCAGTACACATTCATTAACGCAGTAGACTATGAACGAAACAAGCTCTTACCGGGCCATGGAGCATAATTTATCCCATCTTATTAGCAAATTTAGACAGCATGCCTCGATCCATTGATGCAATCAAAATCATCTACTGTCAAAATTGTTGTGACACCTGCAGATTATCAGCTCCAGATACGTCAGAATCTTAGGCTTTCCTATTGAAGCCTGAATTGAGCAATGGTGGCATTGACTAAAAGCCGCGTGGACCATAGAATTTTGCTCTGAATACAATAGACACCACACCATGTTTGTTGAATAGAGCTCAGCTAGCTTTAAAGAAGTTGCTAGGCCAGCAATAACAAAGGCTAAACACTAGCATTCGACCTACACGCGGAACACAATCTCCAGGCTACAGTAGAAATCCCTAGCCGGTGAGCTCGACGAGCTAAATTAGATCAGAGAGCTTCTGCATCAAGCCTTCAACCTCACCTCCGATTTGATCCTTGAGCCAATCTTGACCTTTCTCTTCAACTAAATCCCAGATTTCTTTTTCTTCGATGAAATGCTTCTTGAGAAAGGCGATTGCGCAAACCGTAGCTAGGATATCGCTACTGTTCTCGTGATTAGCAACGGAGACCGGAAGATCGAGCTTAAGAAGAGAATCATGTCTCAATTTTGTGATTTCCTCGAATTCTTTGCTCCAGCCCCAGCAACCACCAAAGCGTTGTAAAGCAATGAAGCTTTGGAGCTTGGAGTCGTTGGAATAAGCGCTATCAGCCTTGTTGCTACCACTATCCATCGGCTGGCTGTTCCCATCTTTCCCGGAGCTCGATGGCGTGGCTTTCGGTTTCAAACGGGATGACATTCTTGTGAAGAAGGAACTGGGCGCCTTCCTGGCGAACCGACTGGTACTGGGTTTGGCAATCTTTGCGCAATATCCCCTTTGACTAAGGTTGTCCGAGGTCCGCGCCTCGCGGGGTATCGAATGTCTGTTTCTGGTTATAGGTATCTCATCAGCTGGCGTCTGAGAGATTTCAATTTCACCAATCTCCTTCTCCGATCCAACGAGGCCTCTGGTTTGAGGCGGCTCCACGGCAACGAAGGAGCACCATTTACCCACGACCTGAAACAGTACTCCCAATCGAACAGCCTCTGTTTTTGCCATGTTGAAAAACCCGGGATGAAACTTTTCTCGTAGCAGCTTCCCGTCATCATCTCTGGCTACGAAAAGCCAACCGCGATTCTCTTCTAGATCCCTAATCTCCTTGCGAGCCGCCATCTGGTGGATAGCAGACGATTTCGCTGAAAGGTGGACAATGGGGATCTCTAGCTCCAGAGGCCCTTGGTCACAAGACCCTTTCAAGATGACCGACTTTGGTTCTAGATCTTGTTTTTGATTCGACAGCAGGACGTATGTTGTCGTTCGGTTAAAGGGAAAGACCTGTGTGATTTGACTTGGAACCTGAATATAGTCTGGGGCTGGTACTGCGGGCAAACTTGTATGTTTTGGTGCAATCGGCCCAGTAGCAGGACCTGGATCAGTCTGCTCATCGCCCTTCGGGATCTCGGGGTCCGTTTCCCTCGCAATCTGGCTCTCTACCTCTATCCATTCTTCATCATCCTTGGAATGGACCAGAAGGGAGTCTGAAACATTTTCGACAATTTCAAAATCTTCGTTGTTTTGAGCATCAGCTTTGCCATATCTGATGTCAAGACTGTAATCCTTGATATGGGGAAGCAGAGCGCCCTTGAGCATCCGGATAACTTTCTTGTCCATCGTCTCCGAAACGTGGACAGTCTGCGCGAAGCCGTTTCCTGCCCGTGCAATTCCCTCAACTAGAGCAGAGCTCACATTTAACCCAACACCCAGACTGAAAACGCGTATGTTCTGGTTGGACTTGGCCGTCCACTTGTGTATCAAGTCGAAAAGTTTGTCTTGCTCATCGATTCTGCCGTCAGTAAGAACAAACGCCTCGAGACTCATGTCGCTATATCGTTGCTCAAAAGTGGCCTCAAGAGGATCAAGGATATTCGTTCCGCCATAGTCGGCTTCAAATGAATCTATGTGCTTCTTTGCTTCCTCGAATGATTCCTGGGTATAGCCTTTCGACCGCTCCCAGAGGAATTTATGCCCTGTACCGAAGCTGCAGATGTTGAATTTAACTCCAGCGGGTAGCGATCTGAGGAAAATGTGAAGAGCAGCCACAAGATTCTTTATTTCAGGCCTCATGCTACCGCTTCGATCGCAAAGAAACACAATCTCCGGCTTTATTGGAGCAAGATTGAATTTTGGGACTAGGGTCATCATGAGGGCTCTTTGATTGGGGATTGTTGGATGGGTTTCGAGGAATGCAGCAGGCTCGGAAAGGTTTGTAGCCACTACATCAATGACGACGTCTATGTCCAGGCCGACTGACGATTGAGAGAAGCTGGCAGATGCCCTGCTTAGAGTTGGCTCCGACTGCGGCGCGTTAGATAACGTGCCGATGGTGACAGGCATTGGATGGGATGGTGACTGGATGGATTTGATCACAGAGCCTCCTGGCATCTCGACATCGACTGTAATGGACATTCCGCGCTCTTTAACCCCAGGGGCTTCTGTTTCCCAGATAGCAGAACCATAGCGGGGAGCAATCCGTGTGGGAATCGTGAGGCGCAACCCGTTGATCTCAGCATCATGTTTCAATTCCTCAAGGTACGTCAGCTCCACGCGCACTTCCCCGCCGGGAGGGAGATTCCCAATAGTCGTGGAAAATATATCAGAGGCCTTGCGGGATTGTTTGAATAACCCAGCGGTTTTACCCTGGGCCTTGGCTTTGCCAAAGTCTGCCTGTGCCTCCCGCCATTCCTTCACTACACCCTTGATCACGCGATTACCGACGCAGCAAGTGAAGCCAACGACAGACACCCCATTGTCAAGGGGGAATATGTACTTGACTTCCCGGGCCACCTGGCTCTGCGATGGATTGATAAAGGTTTGTGTGAGATTGGTTTGACATATCGAATCCAGGATTGTCGTGTGGATCTTGGTCTCAACTTGCGGCAGATATTTTGCCAAATTGTCAATGACAATGTAGCAGCCGCCGGCTAGACTCGTTCTTGAAGCCATCGAAACAGAAGGCTCTGTTAACTCGCGATGGATTCGCTGGGTTATGGCAGTGGACGAGCGAGAATGATGGAAGGTGATGTAATGGGATGCACGAGATTGAGGGGCAATGAACAGCTATCAAGATGTCGCCTTGCTATCTCTTGCACTGGCCTACAAGGCTCTTAATCGTATGGTGATGAGTGTCTGCCTAAAGAAGCACACGCGGCAATCTTATATGAGTCATCGATATCAGGAATTACCGGTACTTCCCAGTTAGGTACATCGGTCGATGCAAGTCTGTTGATCATGAGGTTGTTGGGCTATGAAGCCCTGGTCGAGGATGATTATGAGTCAATTTGCCCGAAACCACGTACCCCGCCCTCGTGATTACATGTACCAAAGAGCCGCCAACATCATGCATTAATAATATCGCCATGGAGGTAGTATCACGTGTTAAAATAATAAAGAACACACAACATAGAATATTTTATCACTATGTGAAGTGAGCGAATGCTTTGCGGATTAGGACAGTAATAGTAGGATTTTAGTTATCTATTTCATGTAGTAGGTAGTAAATCCCATACCTCAGTATGCTTATACCCCAACTTAGCCTTCTTACAGACGAATGCTAGCCACGTATTAGAGGAGCCCTTTGCCGGCTAAGTGTTGCCAGACAGAATCGGATCATTGAATGTTTACTTCATCTTCTCATGTGAAATTAATGAAACAGGCACACTTCATCAGGCCCCATTCTGTTGAACCTATCTTCATTCGCCCCGATGCTCGATGAATCTTGAGGAGCGGTGATTTCACATTCGCAAAGCAGATTCGCCTTCCTTAGTACAAACACCTTCAAGCGTGACCCGTCCCCCAACTAAAGAGAAATTGATACATGTCTATATGGCTAATAAATTAGCAAGCAGTTAAGTATCCGAGCTTTTTTGCTTGAGTAAATTTATCATATGGTGTGGATAAGATTCGGAGCATGAGTGGTAAGACAGTGTTTACTTACGCGTCCCTGGAAAAAGCGTTGCATTCTTCTCCGGGTTCGGCTACCATTTCAAGGGGTGCATCCCGAGAGAAGAGTCGACAAGGGCAAAACCGGTGGTAAATGCACTCAAGCATCCACTTCAGCGTATTCGCCAACGTATTCTCAGACTTTGGCTCGTATCAAGCCTTTCCAATGGTCTCCATTGCCTCCAGGCTGTGAGGTAAAACCTGGTCCTCAAAACTTCTAGGTTCTCTAGCCAGGAACATCACGCTTAAAGGTAACGTTGCATGGAACAATACTTTGTCGTCATGTGTTGTGATTCGTTTAGCACCTTGTAAAAATTCGAGTTACAACACCTTGTAAAAATTCCTATCTTCCTCTTCGCGAACTACACCGCTTTGACTTGGGCCACACGACATGAATGCTCTATAACAGCCCAATCTGGTGGAGAGACAATTGGAGCTTCCTTATACAGGCGTATGTAGTAGGATCGGGGCTGAATCGATATTGAGTATCCTCCAGGGGTGGACGTTCATAGACAGGTTTGGTAGGGATGAGGCTGAATCAATATTTCCGGGGGACTGAACGTTGACAGGCGCCACGATCTCAGCTTTTGTTTTAGCGAGCTTCTTGAACACGAACACTCTTAGCGATGCTACTCAAGCTGGGCTATGATTGGCTTAGGATGCCATCGGCAGGATCATGGGTATCCTACCAGGGGGTCAAGTCAACTGTGGGCCGTGCAGCTCGCACTGAAGCCTACATTAGGCAAGATTCCTAGATAATCCGGCTGTCCTTCAATATGTCGATGATAGACTATTGCGAGAGATTTCTAGAACTGTACGAATAATGGCATTGTCTGGCTCAATCTGGAAGTAATGTTGTATTGCATGCCTCGACTGCCTACGCACTCAAGTCTTCAAGTATAAAAGAGCAAGACGCCACTCTGCAATAGATTGCAATTGGATTCAACAAGCTTTCTTCAACGAAAAGTTTATAGCTCTATTCAATAAGCTCCTCCATCAGCACCATGTTGGTCTACTCCACTGTCCTGCTTCTCTTAGCCCTTCCTTTCTCTTCAGCCAATGAGTGTATCAAATACTCATGCAGTGCCTGTGCTTGCTACGAATGGGAAAACCCCTCCCCAACCGTCACTGCTGAGCCCTCTCCCACGCCTACAGGTCCTGCGAATCTCATCATAAATGGTGGATGGGAGTCGTTTGATGGCGGGGGCATTGCTCCGTGGATCTCGAAACAGGGCACGGGTGGCTGCAGGCCTTGGTCGAACGCGGATCAGCCATACATGCTTCCAGAAATGAAATATCATTCCCGCAGCGGTGAATGGATTCTGTAAGGCGATCTTCTATTGGTCAAAGAAGAAACAAACTGACTTGCTGTTAAATAGCATCATGGCAAACCCCACAGACTGGCAGGGAAACGTTATAGCCGAATCCATGTTGCAAACGGTCAGCGTGGTGAGCGGAACCGAGTACCGCTTCGAGGCTTACTACACTCTTCTTTTCCTCCCCAAGACAACGACTACGTGCCGCCTGTGGGCGTCAATTGATGGGGTTGATAAGCAGGGAGCGACTGTCGGCGACAGCGATAGTGGAGATCCCTATAACTTCGATTTGATCACATTTGTTTACACACCTTCGACTACGGGAGACATCACAGTGAGCATATCTTTCATGTGCAATGATGCTACATACGAGGACGGAGGTGTTGTGGGCGTGGATGATATCAGCCTGACTGAAGTAGTCACCTCGTGATCTACAAGATTATTTGCCTATTTCGAGTGATTATCTGCGTCTCTTCTGGGTTGCTGGCCTTTCTGTTCCCTATTATTCTCATGGGTTGGATTGATTTCATTCGTCAAATTAATGGCGAGTACGGTACCAGATCTTCAGTCATAGGGCAATCGACGCTCTGCATCCTAGCCCTTGAACTTGTGGGCTAGGCTAGTGGGCTGGACTGAGATCTTCTGTTGTGGAAGCTTTTAATATAGCTCAGTATGATATCTTTTTATGTTGCAGTTGGATTTGGAGAATGTATGAATCTTCGGTGAACTTGACAAGAAACAAATGTTTGTCGTGCTTCAATTGTGCTCAGTAATATGCTGTGCCCCCCTTGCGAAAACTGCGATCATCTTAATATCCTGACAAAACTCACGGTCTTGACAGAGATTCTGTTCACCTCCAAGCTCAGATTGAAAGACTCTATCAAGACATAGGTTCCTTCTACTTCGAGTCACCATGGTATGTACATACCCTCTTGTTACCCATGGTTTAAAATACCTCAATTGGAATCTTCGCTATTGTTGAGAAAGTAAATTGCAGGTCGATCTCGTATTGAGCAGAGGCTCCAAGCCTCAACCCCATCGTTTATACTAGTCCCTTGCAACTCCATTGTATTGTCAAGATTGACCCAGATTCGCTTTCTACAATAAAGAGCGTCTTCCCATCCGGACCACCCCATGTCACATTAGTACTCCCGTAACCATATTTTTGTGTAGAGATGCGAGCCTTTGGTAATCCGCGTCTATCATGGACATATATGGTCCCAAGGGTCGAATGAGCAACGAAGATATTTCCCTCCTCATCAGTAGCCATTCCATCAGGCCCACCAACGCCCCCATATGTCGAGAAACGTCCAGTTCTCTGCACGCTTCCATCACCATATAATGGTACTAGCCAGACACTATTATCTCTAGTCATAGCCACAAATAGTGTAGTTTCGGTAGCATCGAGGACAAGCCCGTTGGGAGAAGGACAATTTCGAAGCAGAATGTCAATCCTACCATCTGACTGGATGCGATAGACTCTTCCGCTAGGGTCCTGTAGACCAGACATGCCTTGATCCGTAAATATGATACTCCCGCTGCGGGTAATAACCAAATCATTGGGGCCCTTGAGACGTTCTCCGTTGAATCGATTCATGATTGTTGATATTTTCTTAGTGGCGATGTCCAAGGCCAGAACACCCTGCTTAAAATCCGCAATGATAATCTGTTGGCGTTGTTCATGCCAAGCAAGACCATTTGGTTCACCGTCATACTCGATAACTAAACTCCACTCTTTCGTAAGGAGGTCGACTGCGAAAATCCGGCCATAAGGAATATCACTTAGATAGAGCAAATTCCCTCTCACGAGGGGTCCTTCCAAGAAGCTGTCCAACGGGCGGCCTCTCTTCTGGTTTTGAGAGTGCTCGGACAGACCCAAGCGCCGGAATTTCGAAGGGAGGGTCGTTAATTCTTCAGCGTTAATCGTTGGGGGTGGCTGATACCAAGCATCGAGTCCAAACGACATGATTACGAGACGATCAGAATATGAGCAATTTGTCCCTGACCATACATGAACAGCTGAAGATCCAACTTAATCAAGTTCATTTACGTTCTCCACGCTTTGACTATTACTTATGCTCGGGGATTGACTTCGTGCGGGCCAAGTCCGTTAGCCCCTGGCTTAAAGAGGCTACATTTCGGATGGCTTGGTGGTGCTGGAGAATCTCCGCCACCACCCCTCGTCCCACGGGGAATCTCCGTCTTGGGCTTCGGACATTGCCGTTCAACTTGACTGGAAGACAGGTACCAACATCAATCTACCCCATGGGGAGTAAATTCACTGGAGCGGTGTGGGATGGAGCCCTTCGAGTTACCCCGGATCATGTAGTCATAGAAAGCATATAAACTAAGGAGTCGCTCCCTACCTCCTTACACTTCACCAGCTTCTCTCCTCCCTCCAGAATAGTATACCCCGACAAAACCTATCTTTATAAGCTATCAGAATATCTACAATGAGTGGCGATAATGACACAGAGAAACCCGGCGGAGTACTCGAGGTCGAGGACAGTAGAGTGTCCAAGCTGGATGCAGACCTGGTACCCCCGATGCCAGATCCAGATGCTGAGAGACGCCTAGTACGCAAACTGGATCGCACAATTCTCCCCTGGATTATGCTGCTCTACTTGTTGTCGTACCTCGACAGGTAAGTTTCATCCACATTGTCTTATTTGGTATCGATTCCTTCCTTTCTGAGAAGTCATCTAACTTGTATGATTCAATTCCAGAGCCAACATGGGAAATGCTCGAAATATCGGACTCGCAACGGACATTGGCCTCGGCAGTACGATGTATCAAGTCGCCTCGGCCTCCTTCTATATTGGAACGGTTATCTTCGGAACGGTGGGAGGTCTCATGCTCAAAGTATTCAAGCCGTCGACCTGGCTGGGACTCTGTGCTATTGGCTGGGGAGCAACAAGCACCTTGCAAGCCGCCTGCACCAATCCAGGTGGTCTGATAGCCGTTCGATTCTTTCTTGGCGCATTCGAGGCGTCATTTGCACCTGGATGTGCCTTATATCTCAGCTTCTGGTATCTGAAATCCGAGCTCTCCCTACGTATCGCTGCATATGCTGGGATGAGTGCCGTCAGTGGTGTTTTATCTGGACTGATTGCATACGGGGTTGGTCTCGCCCAGGGCAAAATGGCTATAACTGCCTGGCAGACGTTGTTTATTGTGGAGGGGTTGCCCACAGTCGTCGTTGGAGTTCTCACACTCTGGATACTACCTGGACGCCCAGAGTCTGAGAGATCTCATTGGTTCACTGAAGCAGAGCATGAGATCATTCTGAGCCGACGGAATAGGTTCACTAAAAATGCTGACACCGGAATAAATATGGAACAAGTGAAAAAGTAAGTTGCTCACCCAAGACTTCACGTTGATAGCCAAGCATACTAACATGATGAACAGTGCATTCAAAGACTACCGGTTATATCTGTTTTGCCTAATTTATTCCGGGCTATCTCTCTCTTTAGCCGTAGCCGCTGCTTTCCTTCCGACCATCGTGGAGGATCTCGGCTATCACTCCGTTACGGCCAATCTGATGACTGCCCCCGTTTATGGCACAGCTTACGCTTGCCTGATCATTACTGCCGCCTTGTCTGACCGGTTTCGGATACGGGGTATCCCTATCGCTTTGGGCGGTTTGATTTCTGGAATAGGGTATCTATTGCTGGGACTGCTGAGACAAGGAAATGCACGCTATGCTTGCTGCTTCCTAGCGGTTACTGTGGGTTAGCCTTCCGGTTTCGAAGATTTCCAAACTAACGATGATACTGTAGGGAACTTACATGGCTTTCCCAATCGTTCTGACCTGGATCACATCGACATTTGCGGGAGATACTAAGGCTGGCGTTGGTGTCGGAATAGTAATTGCCGTCACTCATGCGATTGGAGTTGCTGCCTCTACAATCTATCCAAAGCAAGACGCACCATACTATTTAACTGGAAACGCAGTGTCTAGTGCACTTGCCCTCGCCACCACCGTTTCAGCTATAGCTATGAGCATTCTACTGTATCGGGGGAACCAGAAGCGAGACCGTCGTTATGGGAAGCCAGAAGCCCGTGCTCCTGTTGACATGGGTGGTGATGCTGACAAGGCTCAGGACTATAGATACGACATCTAAGTTCAGGAAGCATCAGGTTGTGATTAGGATGGTCTGTTCATAGTCCATGTTAATTTAGTTCGTTGGCCTATGATTGGAAAACTTACACAACTGTACATTCATCTGTTGCCAGGGCTTGGTCAAGTAGAAGGGTTAAAGAATGGGCTCAATAGACCAACAAGTTTTCCAATTCTAGTATGGCCAACGTACAATTCATCTGGGACAGCCGAGCAGTGCTCTACAAGATTTACGTACCGGCCTCATGACTGTTATATAGGGGTAACTGAATACGCACACATCGAGTTTTAAATAGGAGCACATCAAACTAAGCCAGCGGCGTATACACCCAAATCGGGAGTACGGTCAGTGTGCCTTACCACCAAAACCAGAGAGTGCCTAGCCGATATTTCCAGGCCTCACCCATTGGTCAAATACCCCTGCCAGACGCTCACCAGCATGAATTGCTTCCATATTCACGAGGAAAATACGAATAACAGCTGATGACGAAGGATTTCTCTGTAGTACAACGCTTAAACCACAACTGTTATCCTCCTCGCACAGAACCATAGAGGCACAAGCCAAAACCCAGGGGCCTTGCCATTGATCTATCTTGTCCGCTTCTATGTTAGAAGATCTAACAACAGAGAAACCATGGCACAAGATGAGGCAGTTGCCACGGTGCACCCGCCAGCGTACAATCCGACAGTCCTGCCAGCTCCAAAACCTCAACAGCACCGACGCCGGCCGCGTGTTCCCCAAGCCTACGGCCTTGTTGACTGCATCAAACGATCTGTCGGGGTGCTTTTGGATACATTAATCATCGTCGTCAGTATCAGATTCTCGGTCATGTGGCCGCAGGTAGCTGGCTTTGGTGTGCCAGGAATACTTGGGGTATATTCTCCTTTCTAGCTGATCCCTTTCCCCCATCAACTCTTCCGCTCATCCACAAGGGTGAAACCACAAAAAGAGCCAAGCTAAGCTTATATAGGGTTTCATTGCCCTGATACTTGATGTATCCGACGTAGTAGGAACCTTAGATCGATCACGACGAATTGCCAGACCCTCCGCGCCGTTGACCTTCTGCATGGACACAATCATCTTCATAGTTCTCATCATTGGTATTCCTATTTTGATCTTTACCGGTTACGAACTCGGATCGGATCCAGATCGACAGCCTACAGGCTGGAAAGAAGAGAGAATGCTGTGTTTTTGGATAGTGGTCGCAGGCGCGTTAGTTTGCTCTCCTAGCCGCAGAGCTCCCATGCCATTTGTTGACCATGATACGGTATAGATGTTGGCGAGGAATCTATCTTATATGGGGTTGTATCGATCGCAAAGCCCGGCGGAAGGAAGACCGAGCCATTCACGTCCCTGTCGCGATTGAAAACCTTCCATCCAACCAACCACCCAGATACTCGTTTGTCGACGGAGGGCAGCCACAAAGCACATTGACTCCTCGACCTGCTACGCTGGTTTCTCAACAAAGCCCCTCTGCTACTCGACTATATCTGCCAGGCCCCCGAACTACGATGCCCCCGGATTATACGTCTGTTGCTAGACAGGGCCAGTCTCGAACTTGAAACGAACAGAGTGGCCTCCTCTGACTCATAATACTTCATTCCTTCCGTGGTGTCATTGAATATTCTAGTCACGATGCAAGTCAATGTGCAAGTCGAATTACGTTTATCATTACTAAATAAATCTTCAGAGCAATATACTCAAATTCTCCTCATTCCAGATAAAATGATAGCCCTTTGACGTCTATATGCTTCCTTGGGACGCCTAATTATAAGCAGTACACTGAATCTCGTCCAAAGCGAGCGAATTCCTCCTACTCGGGCCGGGATTCTGAGGACTCTCACCAGTAATCCAGATCCTCGACGTCCCATCCGTCGGCGTGGTGAACTCGAAGCTGCCCCTGAGCCACACCCCCGTGTCCGCGTCGCTCTCCGGGTACCGATTTCCAATGACCGTATTGCCCTGCCAGATGCGCACGTAGGGGACGTACGTCGTGCCCTTCCTCGTGACGGCGTAGTACTTGTCCCACTTCCACCAGTACGTGCAGAAGAACCGGGTGTTCCCGCAGGTCTGGACGTCTTGGTACATCTCCAGATACACGGAGGAGTCGAAGTTGAACGTGTTGAATTTGAAGTTGGTCCCGGCGTAGCCACCGGGGCTAACCGTGGTCTGGACGGTGTTGCTGTTGCTGAGCCTCCATGGGGTGAGGAAGCCTGTCTCAAAGTCTCCGTTTTTGATGGGCGTTACGTTGTCACACGTGGGTTGGGGCGGGCTGGATGTGGTTGTTGACGGCACAGTCGATGAAGGGGTGGAAGATTCAGGTGCTGTGGATGTGGCCTCTGGTGTTGACGTGGGTGAGAGCTCGCTTGTGGAAGAACTAGCAACTGGCGTGGATGAGATCTCGGTGCTTGAGATGGGAGTCACGGATGGCGTGGTTGAAGTGCTACTGGCTATGGTACTCGAGTCTGATGCAGATGGCGTTTCAGTGCTTGAAATTGGGGTTGGGGTTCCCGGCGTGGAAGCGACAGAGCTAGCATCTGAGGTAGATGGGGTCTCCGTGCTTGATATGGGAGTTGATGATCCAGTTGAAGGAAGGGCTGAAGGAGTGCTGATTTCTGATGCAGATGGCGTCGCTGTGGTTGAGGCTGGAGTCTCGGATGTAGATGGGGTTGAAATCTCAGTCGTTGGAGTCGTTGACGAGACTGGGGTCTCAATTGTGGATGGGGTTGAAATCTCAGTCGTTGATGCAATCGGTGTACTAGGCGTAGCGGCCTCAGAACTTGTTGCTGGGGTTGAGATGCCAGTCTCTGGCGTTGATGTCCCTGATGGGGTCGCGGTACCAGAGCTGGGAGTGGGAGTCCCAGAGCTAGGGGCTGAAGGTGTTGACAGGCTTCCTTGACTGCTGCTTGGCGTGGTCGTCTCGGTAGCAGAAGGAGTTGCCGATGTGGTTGGCGAAATAGCCTCGGATGTGCCCGGGGTAGAAGGAGAGACGACGGTAGAAAGAGTCGTTGGAGTCGAAAGAGTGACGCTGATCTGGCTAGTGGTGGGCGTGGCGCTGATGGCTGAATCCAACGGTGTGGAGATGGTGGAAAGAGTGGATGAACGGACGCATTTTCGTCTGCCTGCGCTGGCTACCGAACAGAAGAGAAGGGTGAATAGAATCGAGCGAGAAAGGTGCAGCGCCATCTTGGTCTTGGGGCTCTCCCACACTGACTAAACGAGTGAATAAAGAGATGAAGCGAGTAGGGGAAGAGAGGGCAGTCAAGAAGGAGGCCTGCCTTTTACATTTTCCGCCAGATCAGCTTTTCAATTATGATCTGCACTCCTGCAGCGTGACTATTGGGACGAATCGGTGATGGCCAACTCATCATTGGTGGGCTCCAATCTCGGTTCTCTCAATATTTCGGATCGGGACCTGATCGTTGACGCTAGCGATCATCTCGGCTAGTTACTTCAATAGCGGCCACGTTCTGGATGCGCTTCCGGGATATCCAGGCTTTGAGACTGGCGCCGCCTCTTGGTAAAGACTTAGTTCAATAATCACACCACCACAACTCGGCAGAGCCAAGCCGGTGACACCGTGATCCCCACCAATGGGAGCTGCCAATGAAAGATAAGCAGCTGTAGAAATAAGTTAGTGACAAATCAAAGAACGCAGGAACCTGGAACTAACTCACGACGAGCTTAGTGTTGTAGGGAATGAGCTTCTTCTCCGGTCAGGCACAAGTGTGACACCCACACCCCAGACAGCGCAATCATTGGAACCGTTGAGGGGGATACAGAAAACCGTGGCTGTTGAAGTGGCTCGGACAGGGCTGAAGAGAATCGGCAATGTTGACACCGGGCCTCTCTAGCTTGATTGATATTCCATACAAGCGTTCATTGCCGCCTCTGCCATGACGGCCGGCATGTATAGACATGTATCTGGTGATTTTTCCCCTCTCTAGAATATACGTGGAATCACTTCATTGAATCAATTAGCGACACATTGCCAAGTTGAGGCATGCTTCTATGCTTCTTGAACGCTTTGAAAGCTGATCGTGATAGCATTCGGTCATCTTTCTTGATCGCTAGTTCCCTGCATGAGCCCCATACTTGCTCAGTCCATGAAGTCTTGTGTATTTTGCGGTGCTGTATTGGGCCGAGGATAGGATGTTGCAGATAATGATATTCGGTTTTGCTGAATTACATCTTCTGCTGTGTATTCTTGAGGTTGGCGTCCAAGCCCATCCTGATAACATCCTTGCTGTGTTTTGGCCAAAATGGAGAAGCCGAAACTACAACATGCGATATTCCCAAATTTTCTCTGTGCTCTTCACACAATTATCGGATTTAGGGAGGCCAGTTCTCAATGCAAACTTTCCTCACATGAAGAGTGTGTTATGTAAGGTATGCACCGATAAGACGAGGACGAGGTCTTCGATAGAGGTGAAGCTTTCCAGTCTCGACGATGGCTTAAGGATCCAGCATAGCTTCTAGGGATCCATCACATGTTGAGTCCATGGTGGCAAAGTATAAATTTCACCAGGTGACACTTTTGAGTTTCATGCTTTATTTTCTTTTTAAGTCAGGTGGATATTTGACGTAGCAAACAAGTCATGCGACTAGATCATATCTAACTAAATCTTGAAGATGGGTCACAAAGTAGCATCCTGCGATGGGTGCGTCCCAGTGTGAAAATAGGCTGCAGTTCACCCTTGCCAGGGCGAAGTCCAAGAAATCCCAAGTCTATGCATTGCAGTAGAGCTGGGCCACGTTTTGATGTGCGCTGGGAGTACCATAGAAGTAGAGATGGTACCCTCCTCTGGACATGGGGCTCGAATATCCCGCGCGGTTTGGCTCATAAAATAAAACCTTCAGGTGGGAATTGGAGCTGGCATTAAAATCGGCTTTGTCGGTGTTGTACGGCCGAGGCTTGGTCATGTCGACCGTTATGCAGTCGGTGAGTCATCCATTGTGTAAAATCCAGCAACACCCGGCTCGCTTTTGTTCACGGCTCTCTGTGAGTGTCTGGCTGCATCCCAGGCAGTGATGTTCTTTCGTTTATCCGCTGAAGCAGCAGTATCTTCAATCAGTGGCGGTGATCCAGTAGAAGAAGGCAGCACTGCCCAGTGCGACCAGAATAGTGAGGATGCTGGCACCAGCCCGATCACCGGCGGTGATGGGCCTGAACTCCCTCATATTCGGGTCCTTACTCTTCTCACCAGCATTGGGATTGCCCTTGGACGTGCCGCCCGTCTTGTTCGTCGTAGGCTCCTCCACATCGTCAATCAGCAAGGACGAAACCGCCGCCAAGACGTTCATGGCCTCCCCAGCACCGCTCGTGTGATCCGTCGTTACGGGGTAGAATTTCTTCTCCGACCAGTAGAATCCGCAAGCGCGGCCCGTATCGCCCCCCGTGCACTGGCTAATGGCGGCCTCGGTGGACTTGCGCAGCACGTCCTTGATCTTGTCGTGGGTGTGTGGCGCGACCTGGCCAACGACGGCCATCCAGCGGTGGAGGTAACCCTTGAACGACAGCATGTCAGGGGTGCAGGAGCCCTTATTGGGCTCACAGCTGGCTTCGTATGCGACATCCTCGGGGAAGAATCGTTTCAGAACGGCCTCGAGTAGCTTGTCCAGTCTTGTCTTCCACTTCTCGTCCTTGGTCTACATTCGAGCAGTTAGCGCGTTGAAAACGTGAAGTCGCCCGAGGCGAAACTTACAAATGCATGCATAAATGCGGACCCCTGCAAGAGGACGGCGGCATTGTAGGAAAAGGTTTGCTTGTCAATGTCGGTACAGTTGTGTTCAACATGGCCTCCGTCGTATACGTTCCATGTGTCATGGTCGATGTAGTTTACGGCCCATAGCCAATCCCAGGTCTTTTCGGCATTTTCGGCGTATGTCGCGTTGTCGGTATATCGAGCCAGTCGGGCACCCATGTTGAAGAAGATGCCATTGGAAATGGCTGGGAGAGAAGGGGGGGTTAGCAGGGCAATGGCGGACAAGGGAAAGCAGGTCTAAGTGTTGGGATTCCACTCACTGTTCTTGTAATTGTAACCAGTGTTGGTCGAAGGAATCTGCCAGCGCATTCCTCCATTGCACTCGGCGTCATGACGCTTGGGCTGAACCTGGGTATTCCATACAGCCTGGGCCAACTCGAGCCATTGATACTGGTCCTCGGGCGGATCGGGGAATTTGTTTTCGGCGGCGAGCAGGGCAGACATACCCCAGAAACCCTGGTCGTCGTTGCCCAGCGAAAGAGTGTGATTCTCGGGCATATAGTCGCCGTTCTCGCCAGTCTGATGCAGCATGCCCTGGGTCACAACAGCATTATAACTGGTGTCGCCCGTCAGCTTCCAGTAGTCGATGTAAGTTCCCATCATGGCGCCGCCCTGCCACCAGTAGTAGTCGCCCTTGTGCTCGGTCGGTGGTCCAGGAAGAATACCGGGAATCATGCCAGTCTGGTTGCCGGTGTATTGAAGCATCAGGTCGTAGGCAAGTGTTCGTGCGGATTGCTTGATCTCGTCTGCGACAGACAACATGTTAGTTAGAGTCGAAGGCAGCAAAGAAAAGTAGCTGATCGGGCCATCGGGAAATATCTACCTTTTGAGCTGATTTTATAATACTGTGCTGCGACGCGGATATCGAGAAAGAGCGACATGCACAGCACAAGCAGGCCCTTTGGCAGGGCGCCAAGCGATCGTGGTGGACTCATTTTTGGTGGGTTGTGTGCGGGTGATTTTAGGTTGGCGATGGGCTCGATACACCACAATCCAATTCAGTGGGGTTTTCCGCGGCGGTATCGGTACAGCGAAGGAAACACTGCGCATTAACCCGTTCTTTGTCGTCGAGGAAGCGAGCGATGGAGATGTACTCCAGTGGTGGAGGATAAGTACAGAGCGAGAGACACAAGCACGCAGAAGCAGAAACGAGAGCGAAGGATGGAGAGAGGGAAAAGACGACCGGTGGATACGAACGGCAAGAGGATGGATGGATCGTCTTATTTAGGAGGATGACGAGGGAGGAGGAATTCGCCAAGGGACGGGACGGTGCAGCAGCGGCAGGGAGGAACAAACTTACCTACAGGCTTTGGGTTTCCCGCTCTCCCAGACGAGACCAGAGTCAGCATGTCTGACCACGGCGCCAAGCCACTGCCTGGTCCCAGTCCATATGGCCTGGCTGGCTGTCTTGCCCGAGTCTGTCTTGCCTGCGCTGTCTGTCTGATTGTCTGCGGGGGTCAAGCGTATGACGTGTGACCCATCAAAACAAACACGGTTTCTTGATGTCACCCGCCCACAATACGAGGGCATAGCAAAGTATTATTGGCACCAGGCCCCTCCAGCCATGGTGCCGACGTCGATCAGTGGTCCATGCCCGCTCTGATCGGGGTCGGAGGTGCTGGGAAAGACGAGCATGCGATCAGTGGGGAGAGGCGGATGGATGGATGGAAACATGGAACATTTGGAAGGTTGAGGAAATGCCGTTCGCTTGCTTGCCCTGGCATTCCAGCGAGTTTAGGGGAGGCACCACATCACTATTAGCAGGTGCTCAGCTTCATGCCACTGATGCTTGGCGATGGATGCCCGCCGCCAGTGCAGAAACAGCAGATAGAGTGCCTACAAGCAGGGATCGCCTCCGCTATGACTTTATCAGCGATAAGGGACCTACGATTCTCAGCACTCTCCTGCCGGCTCTCGGCTGCATCTTTGGTTTGTTTCACATGATGCCACAGGCCAGTGGAAAGAAAGGAAAAAGTACGGCGGTCCTATGCCAACAATGGATTGGGATCAGGTCCTCCAATTTCCTCATCAGACACCAGCCGCCAGGTCTGTCAGCTTGTTTGAGGCTGTGCACCAGAGAGAGCATTTGATTGCTAATTCAGTGCCCACCCACATTCCATCCAGCCCTGCCGCCCTCCCAAAAATCCCGCCCTCCAACAAGGTTAAATCAAGCATGATCGGAACACGGGGCCTTTCCACCCAGTCACGCTCCCACACGGACAGCCATCATTCCAGAGCGCTCACACATCATTTAGCCGCAGGTACGGTAGGTACATGGCAGACCCCAATGATGAAATGATGCAGAGGTGCAGCATTTTCATGTCCAGCCGCTGGAAAAAGTGAGTGAACTCGCCTGCCACCCTGGTTATCGCGCCGTATTCTTTGCGACATCGTGTTTGAGAACTGCAGTCCCTGCTTAGCCACCAGCATTATTGTCGGCGTACATGCAGGCGCCATCTCGGACGTACTCGTACCAGCCCACCACCTGAGTCTTCCATTCAATTCTAGCCCGTCCATTTCATCCGACTCCTCCAGCACCAGCGCAAACGGCCCATCCAGCGTATCGACTGCGTATGCCATCAAATCAACTGATACGCTCAGAAAGTCCAAGGCCTCAGGTCTGCCTGCCCCCTGCTAGTGCCTTGGCCTCTCCAGGAGTCCAGAAGCTCCAGAAGGTCAGCCAAGCCGGAGTCGGCATCTGTCACCTTCGTCTTATCCATCACATGGATGCCCCATGCATTGCCATGCCATGCCCTTGCCATCATCTGCCAGCGCCGAGCCTGCTAATATTGCCCATTACATAATACACAGAACCATCTGCCGTGCCCTCGGCAACTTCTCAAGTACCTCCGTAGATCACGAAGGTGATTAGGTTAAACCATGCATATCCGTTGCCATTGAATCTCACATAAGTAAATCCATTTCTGTTAAACCAATTGCGATAGAAAAATTCTCCATTTAGCCAGTGCCGTAGCCGCGTTTCTCTTGACTAAACCACGGGTCTTTTGCCGGCTCCTGTCCCCCTTCCACGGGGCGCTCGGTTATCGTTTTATTACACGTCGATCACGGCGTTTTAACTCGGTGCGCTGATGCTTGTGCTTATATGCTTACAGCATCCCTGCATGATTTATTTTTCAGTTTCATTTTCTAGAATTTCCAGGAATGGTCATTGCATCGAGCGCTCTGGTATGATGGAGCTGGTCAGCCGCATCTGTTCAATAGCCGCAGCTCCAGGGTAGGTAGTCGGTCAAAAGGCCGCCGTTGCGCTCCTCTCCATTCAGGCTGATAGAGAGGTTGAAAATCTACTTTTGTATTTGCGTAATTCGAATACCGGATGGACTGTAAATAATACACAGTGCCTTTCCTAGGGAATACCTTGTATAGGCTAGATAATGGGTTGTGGCTGTATCATAATGGGGCTCTGGAGACGATGGGTCTATCACCCGCAAAGATTGGCCTCCAGGGATCGTTCACGATCGACAACCACTGCTCCCAAAACCGTAGGCTGCGCTTGATTTGACCAGATCCGGCCCCCTAAGCAACTTACTCATCTGACTGAGGCTGTGTAAACATTAATCTTACAACGGCTCACCGCACAAGCTTAACATTTTTAGAAGGAGACAACTCCTTCCGCCCACATCTGCTGATGTCTTGGACCAACGGGTGAACTTGGCTCGCAACCGTGAGCTTGAACTGCTACTCCCCTGGACACTGAAAGTGTTTGATTGAAAACTTAGTAGTCATCAGGAAATGATCTTCATGTGTGCACGAACTTAGTTTGCTTCAGGTCTCTTGGCCGTAATAGACAAGCATATGAGCTTACTTACTATACATTGGCAGCCTCCTAGTCCCCACAGACTTAAAATTAATCTATGTTATTCTTGAAATTCCGAGAATGGGATAATAAATGAGCAATATTTTCTACCTGTATCTACCAATGGATGAGAGCAATAATGATGCCAGACCCGAAAGTGCCCCCTCAACTCTGGAGGCTTCAATCCGTGGATATGATTCACCTCATAGAGAGTTGGGAAGTTGAATAACACTTCAGAAGAAGTCATACCTAAATAGCTAGTGAAAATTGTTCCAAGGAAGCTATGGATTGCCGAAAGCTCTAGGAACTAAGACTCGGCCCAACCTCTTCCCCCTTGTATTGGGGATTTAGTGTTCGCGGAAGCACCTCGACATTTTGACTAGGGGAGTTCAAAGATAACCTAACAGAGTGTTAGATTACAAAAATGACGTAAATAGTATTATTGATGAGTATTCTCCCTGAGCAATAATAGACGTGAGATAGACGAAAAGTAATGAAATCGGGCAAGCTTGTTAGGATTAAATCCAAACTTTGGATGCAATACATTGGATCCTGACCTGTGAATTTCATACTGCCATTATGAGCTCCATTTATCAACCTTTGGTCATCCAAGGCTGAGGGCGGGTGTTTGCGTGCGAGCAGCGACCTGAAACCATATCAACTTGTATCGACGATGTGCGGCGGAACTTCATCCCCTCAAAACAATGGAAAACACAGCGGTTCAAGGTAGATATTGTCTATTGTCATTCTATGAAAGTTCTATGCGAGCAGAATCTTGATCTGCTTGTTCTGATATGCCCTTGAAGGGCTCTTTATAAATCCAAGAAAAGAGTAAAGAGAGCACAGGCCAAGGCCATCGTGCCAACGCTGTTCACCGTAGCGCCATTATCATTAATAACATTAGTTTTACTGCCACCGCCATCATTATCTCCATCTCCGCCTGATTTGTTGGTATTCGAGTCTCCGCCTCCGCCATTACCGCTGTTGTTGCTCTCGTCATTGGATGAATTGGTCGTCGACATGCTCGTCGAGTTGGCATTTTCCCACGTTTTGTTGTACGAATATCCCGGGTTCTCGATAATCGTATCATTGACCTGCGAGCCAGGGCCGTTGGTCGAGTTCCGCACGCAGACGGACTTGTCGCCGCCAGCAAACTTGGCTGCTGTCTTCCACAGCATGGAAATATCGCGCACCATATCCCCCGTCCAGAACAGACGGCAGTTGGCAGCCTCGTAGACGAATTGGCGGGGCATGTTGGGACTCTTCGGTAGGATCGAGTCGAGCATGTTGACGCCGGCGGCCCTCGTGTCCACGAACCACGGCGCATCGCTAAGTAGCCCAGGAAGGTTGGTGATATCAGCAGTGGTAACACCGATCTTGCCGAGGAAGGTGTTAAACTTGCTGCCAGCGAGGCTGCGTATATTGTTGATCGTGTCCGTGGTACCGCTGATGTAGGAGAAGGTCCTGTCATTACTGCCTCTGGTGCCGCCCACGCCCTGCATTGGTCCGCTCTGAGGGATCCCGCCGACGACGACTGTCTTGACGGAAGCGTCAGTCTTCATCATTGCCGCGAACGTGTGGCAAGTGCTGGCGCAGTATCCGTCGGTGAGCAAGATGATGTCATCGGCTTTCCAGGGCTGCTCGTAGCTGATGACGTTATCGCCGTAGTTGGCAATGTAGAATCCAAGTTCGTCCGCGATAGCCTTGCTCGAGTAGTCGTATTGCGCATGATTTGTGAAATTATCCTCCGTATTACTGCTTTTGATGGGACCAAAGAACTCGTTATACGACTTCCACTGCGTCCCACCCGTTGTCCTGGTAAAGCCCTTGTTGAGAAACCCTGAATTGTTGTAGAAATTACGAACAGGCTGAACGATGGTGTTGTCCAACACATTATCCTTATTCTCGATGAGGCCAGTTATTAGGTTTCCATATGTCTTCAGCTCGG